GCTTCCTGGAAGTCCACAGGTACCTACGTTGACGAGGTTCCCCCGCCTGGGGCGAACATCGTCAGTGGCATGTGGATTTTCAGGGTGAAGCGGCCGCCGGGTTCTCCGCCTGTCTTCAAGGCGCGTTACGTGGCTCGTGGCTTCAGTCAGCGGCAGGGAGTTGACTACTTTCAGACCTTCTCTCCCACCCCGAAGATGACCACTCTTCGGGTACTGCTGCACATAGCTGCTCACCGCGACTACGAGCTGCACTCTCTTGACTTCAGCACTGCTTTCTTGCAGGGCAGCCTGCACGAGGAGATCTGGCTGCGTCGCCCACCTGGCTTCACTGGGTCTTTTCCTCCTGGCACCCAGTGGAGCCTCCGGCGGCCAGTCTACGGTCTCCGCCAGGCACCGCGTGAGTGGCACGACACACTGAGGACTACACTTGCGGCTCTTGGGTTTGCTCCCTCTACTGCCGACCCGTCGCTGTTTCTGCGCACCGACACTTCTTTGCCGCCGTTCTACATCCTCGTGTACGTCGACGACTTGGTCTTTGCCACAGCTGACACTGCTGGACTCGCCCACGTGAAGTCGGAGCTACAGAAGAGACACACGTGCACAGACCTGGGTGAACTGCGCAGCTACCTTGGCTTGCAGATCACCCGGGACAGAGCACGCCGCACCATTACCCTGACTCAGTCACACATGGTGCAGCAGGTCCTTCAGCGCTTCGGCTTCACGTACTCCTCGCCTCAGGCCACTCCTCTGCCTACTCGCCACTCGCTCTCAGCTCTGCCTTCGGATGAGTCCGTAGAGTCGAGTGGCCCGTACCCAGAGCTTGTTGGCTGCCTCATGTACCTGATGACCTGCACACGACCTGACCTCGCATACCCTCTTAGCATTCTCGCACGCTATGTTGCTCCTGGGAGACACAGACCGGAGCACATGGCTGCAGCGAAGAGGGTGTTGCGTTACTTGTGCAGTACGTCGGGCATGGGGCTTGTGCTTGGAGGGCAGAGTCCAGTGGTCCTCACTGGGCACGCAGACGCTTCTTGGGCTGACGACCAGGCTACGCAGCGGTCGTCACAGGGCTACACCTTCAGCCTTGGTTCCGGCTCTGTTTCGTGGCGGGCTACCCGCTCGTCTTCTGTTCTCGGCTCCAGTTGTGAGGCTGAGATCTACGCCGGGGCCATGGCTGCACAGGAGCTTCGCTGGCTCACCTACCTGCTGACTGACCTCGGAGAGCCGCCTCGTTCTCCTCCAGTGCTGTACGTAGACAACAAGGCCATGCTGGCCTTGTGTCGAGAGCAGAGACTGGAGCACAGAACGAAGCACATTGCTCTCCGCTACTTCCTTGCTCGTGAGCTACAGCAGCGTGGTCAGCTGCGGCTTGCGTACGTGGCCTCTCAGGCCAACACTGCTGATATCTTCACCAAGGCACTTGCGCCTTGTGATCATCAGCGCTTCTGTACTCAGCTGGGTCTTGTGCCCACCTTGCCTCACTTGCTCACCCCTTGACCTTGTTTGTACTGATGCATATATATATATACTCCTGCTCTTGCTTGTCTAGCCTTATATATATATGTAATCCTGCATGTGAACTGGCCTTGTGGCCTTGAACTTGTGCTCGGAATGTGTGGTGACTTTGTGATCCACCCTGAGCTTGTTTTGCTTTGCTTGACTGGTCCTGTGACCCCTTGTTCTCCCCCACTTTGCCTATGGGGGTGTGTCAGATTTATATGACATAGCTACTGTAGGCTATAGTGGGGTGGCACATATGGGGTACAGTTTTCTAGGGTTTGCTTTTTGTACCCAACTTTCACTTAGTCATTTCATTCCTCGTTTCTTCTCATTTAGCTAGTGCAAAATTACAACTAATGAAGGCTAGCCTTGCTTTAGCTCTAACAATAATGACAAATATTCAATATTTTTTTTTACTGCAAGGGTGCGCATATAATAAGTAATGATTTTATAAGGGGTGCGCTTCTAATTGAGGATCGGCCATAAGCGCATTGCTCCATATATAAGCGCATGCGCCTTTAATAGGCCTGCGGTTATATCCGGGGCGATACGGTATGTGAAACTTGTAGCTAAAGGATAATTTCAACAAATGAAGACTAGCCTTGCTTTAGGTCTAATAATAATGACAAAAATTCAGCAAGTAAATTTTTTTTTTTACTGCAAGGGTGCGTTTATAATAAGTAACGATCTTATAAGGGGTGCGTGCGCTTCTAATTGAGGATCGGCCATAAGCGCATTCCTCCAGATATAAGCGCATGCGCTTTTGATAGGCCTGCGGTTATATCCGGGGTGATACGGTACAGCTGTTATCTACCACACCATCATGTTGCTCAGAGCACCGTTTCGTGCAGGCTGTCAAGAATCGTAGGTGAACAGAGGGCTTAGGAGAAACCCTAGCCTAGGTTGATGTCGAGAGGAAGGAGGAGAGGTAGCAGAGCAAGGATGATTGCACTATGGAATTGTAAGTACAAATAGATGAGAAACATGCAAGGAGAGGTGCATCACAAGCAGGAAATCATTATGCCTACACTACAACTACAAGCAGTTATAAAATATGTAAACATATTTCGACACGCCCCCATAATTGCTTGTAGGAAGAAGTGTAGTTACGCCCCCTGAAGGGGTACACCACGCGCAGTGGAAGACGGCAAGGAGGGAAATGAGGAGGAGGCGAGAGAGAGAGAGAGAGAGAGAGAGAGAGAGAGAGAGAGAGAGAGAGAGAGAGAGAGAGAGAGAGAGAGAGAGAGGAGAGAGGAGAGGAATGAGGAGAGGTGGGGGGGAGCCTAGCGCGGCGAGCCCCTCTTACGAACCCCCGTTTTACAAAGGGGGGGGGGGGGGGGGGTGAGAGAGGGATGAGGAGAGGAGGTGGGGGGGAGCCTAGCGCGGCGAGCCCCTCTTACTAACCCCCATTTTACAAAGGGGGGAGGGTGAGAGAGGGAGGAGAGGAGGTGGGGGGGAGCCTAGCGCGGCGAGCCCCTCTTACTAACCCCCTAATTCCACGCCCCCTTTCAGCCACCCCCCTCAACCTCATCCCCCTTGTCAACCGCCCCCTGTAACCTCACACCTTCCTCCCCACCCTTCCTCCAACGCCTTCCCCACCCACGGTGGTCCCTGCTCAAGTCTTCACATGGCGGCCAGAAACCCGCCACCCCCTCACCCTCCCCCCCACAGTGGCACGTGCGGCAGTGAGAGAGAGAGGAGGAGCGGCGGCAGCTGGGTACTCACACCCGCCACCCCAAACCCACCCCCCCCCCCCACTGTTGCACGCGCAGCAGGGAGAGAGAGGGGAAGGCGAGCGGCAGCGGCAGTAGCTCCTCCCGTCACTCCCACCACTCCACCCTCTCCACCCTCCCCCCCCACCGCAGCAGGTGCGGCCGTGAAAGAGAGAAGAGGAGGGTGGTGCTGTTGGTGCCACCTCCCCCTTACACCCCCTCCCCCTCCCCCCAAACTGCTGCACACGCAGTAGGGAGAGGGAATAGAAGGGAGGGGGGGGCAAGGTGTGCGATCTGGTGGGGCGGGCGCGGGCGGGCAGGGCGCACGAGGTGCCAGGCAGAGGCGCACGAGGCGCCATGCAGAAACCGCCGCTGCAGTAGGAGCAGCAGGGGGGGAAAGGAGAGGCGGGGGGGGGGGGGGGGGGGGGGGGGGGGGGGGGGGGCTGCTGGCTTGGTGACGAAGCAGAGCAGCGGGGCGCTGGAGGTGCAACCACCCCCCACCGCCACTCCTTCGTCCTCCCAACACCCCCCCCCCCCCAAACTGCTGCACGCGAAGCAGGAGAGGGAGGAGGAAGCGGTCGACGGGTCCTCGGGCGACGAGGCAGGGGGCGACGAGGCCGCGTGCGACGGGTCCTCGGGCGACGTGGCCGCGGGAGACGGATCCGCAGGCGACGGCGCCTTGGGCGACGAGTACGCGGGCGACTGGGCCGCGGGCGACGGGGCTGGCGACGGGCAGCGGTTGCTGGCGATGGCGCTGGCGCTGGTGACCGTCGCTGGCGCATTCGCGAACGCGCTGGCGGGTCGCTGGCGCTCGCCATAATGTCCGCCGCGACCGTCGCCCTGAGCGCCGCAACGAGGCAGGCGACTGGAAGGCGACGGGGGGCAGCTCGACGGGTTTAGCATAAGCTCCTGAAACAGCAGCGGATTTCGCGCCAGCAGCACAATGGGCCGCCACGGCACAAGGCGGATTTGGTGGGCCCGTGTAGAATAGGTCCTAGAAAAGACAACACTCTGATAACATGTCAAGAATCGTAGGTGAACAAAGGGCTTAGGAGAAACCCTAGCCTAGGTTGATGTCGAGAGGAAGGAGGAGAGGTAGCAGAGCAAGGATGATTGCATTATGGAATTGTAAGTACAAATAGATGAGAAACATGCAAGGAGAGGTGCACCACAAGCAGGAAATCATTATGCCTACACTACAACTACAAGCAGTTATAAAATATGTAAACATATTTTGACACAGGCTCCTTGCAGCCAAGCACCAGTGATGTACACATGTATTAGAGCACGTGCACATATGTACCAGAGCACATGCACACATGTACGGTCCCAGAGCACATGCACACATGTCAAAAGGGCTGGCCTGGCCTTCCCTCAGTATAGCTAGCCTAGCAGGATATTACGGTGATTTGTCTGTGGGTGTGTGTGTGTGCGAGAGCATTTATACAACAGGGTGTTACACACCACATGCTGGCTGCATTGAATGAGGACTCGTGCGTTCTACTCCAAGAAGCCTCACGCACAGAAGCTCAGAGTCTGGAAGGGAGCGATCCAGCAAGCCTGCCGCACATACAGTAATTGCTGATTCATGGCTGATTTTTCATCAGACTTTTATTTTAATCCGTGATAGTGATCTATGTGTAGATTTACCCATCTGCTTAGAAATTGCGGATGCTTCGGAATTGCATGACAATAAGGTATTTCCAGCCTGCTAAACAACCAACCTGAGGACCTCATGCCCCGTGGGCCGTGGCCTGCAAAGCAACCAAGCCCTAACATGTAAAATCACATGAAGTAGGAGAGGGGGGTGATCTTGCGGGAGGCACCCTCCCCAAACTGCTCGTTCCACTGCATCAGCTCCATCATTGCTGCTGCATCGCTGCTCACACTCGCCCGCACCTGCCAGGCACGGTGAGAGGGAGAACACATGCCAGGCACGGTGAGAGGGAGAACACATGCCAGGCACGGTGAGAGGGAGAACACATGGCAGGCACGGTGAGAGGGAGAACACATGGCAGGCACGGTGAGAGGGAGAACACATGGCAGGCACGGTGAGAGGGAGAACACATGGCAGGCAGAGGGAGAAAGAAGAATGCATGACAACGTGGGTCCACATGTGCTGCTCGTTCCACTGCATCACCTCCATCATTGCCTTGACGCCCTGTCAACCACAACCAGGGGGAGAACACATAAGAGTTCCTGTGTTTAGTGTACCTGTGCATGCATATGATGACCTGCTCTGAAGAATTACAATAGCATCGCATTATGATGGCATGCCAGCATGGCAGCACGGCAGCAGGGTCCACCTTCTCCATGGCTATTCGCATGTCCTCCATGCTGATTGGCCGCAGGCATGGTGCAGCAACAGGGGAAGCAGTGTGTGTGCATGTGTGTGTGTGTGCATGTGTGTGTGTGTGCGCGCGCATGTGTGTGAGTGCACACAGCACAGCAGCAGGTCATACCTTCTCCATGGCTTTCCGCATGTCCTCCATGCTGATTGGTCGCAGGCATGGCGCGGCGACAGGGGAAGCAGCAAGGGAGCCTGGAAATTCATGTGAGTCAGAGCCATCGTCAGCAGCACCAGCCTCGCTCTCCCGGCTGCCACTAGCTGCTAAGCCGCTGCTTCCACTGCTTCCCTCTGCGCCTCCCTCTTTCCTCTCAACCTCCTCTTTTTCCTGCAAGCAACCCCCAATAGAAAGGTGGAAGCTCAGGTGGTGAGTGCTGGTGTATCAAGGACACAAGGGTATGAGAGTGGAAGCTAAGGCACGTGAGTGCTTGTGTTGACATTCTAGTTAGCACATGACATGGTCGTACGGCTGTGTTACGACACATAAGCAACAGAGAGAAAGAGCAGTGCACACGAACCCTCTCTGTGCCCCAACCCAAGCGCCCCTCACCTTCTTCTCCCAAGCACCCCTCACCTTCTTCTCCTTGTCCAGAAACTCCTTTATTCTCAGAAACGCTGCTGTCACACACAGGTTCTGGTCACACACAGTGAGAGGATAAGGGAAGAGCAGGGGCGACAGGTGAGGGGAGGGGGTGTTGGAGAGGGTGGTGTATGCAGGGGGTGATGTTTCCGTTGCTTGTGATTGGCGGAACGTACTATTGTAAGAGATCTATTAAGTGAAGGGGGCAAGTAGTAGTCAGTGGCACGGCAGGAGCACTCGGCTTCAAGATGTCCGCAAACAGAGCCCCCTCACCTTGAGGTCGCTGCCAGAGTAGCCATCGGTGGCAGAAGCAAGCTCATCGGTGCTGAATCCCGGCTCGAGCTCCTCATCCTTGAGAATGACCGCCAGGATCTTGGCCCGGTTGACGCAAATTCATAGGGAGTCACGCTGAAAGCAGTGCAGCAAATCACCACACTACAATGGCCTCACCTTGAGATCACTGCCCGAATAACCGTCAGTGGCAGCAGCGAGCTCGTCTGTAGAGAAGCCACGCTCGAGCTCCTCGTCCTTTAGAATGACTGCCAGGATCTTGGCCCGGTTGGCGCAGTCAGGCAGGTCAATGAACAGCCTGCGCGCACAGCAGAGGGAGGCATATGAGAACGAGAAGTAAGGAAGGCTCGCAGGAGCGATTGGGGCGGGCTGTGGATGGTTGTGGCAGAGAGAGAGCGAGGCTTTTCTCAATTCGGGCCAACTCAGCTCGGCACAGCACCCACCGTCTGGGGAAGCGCCTGATGACGGCGTCATCAAGGTCGTGCGGGCGGTTGGTGGCGCTGAGCACGAGGATGCGCTCGGCTTGCTTGGATGCTGGGAGGCAGCCAACAGGTAAGGGAAACGCCTGATGACCTCACTCAGTCCATCACCCACCTTCTAGGGAAGAGCCTGATAAGAGCATCATCAAGGTCGTGCGGGCGGTTGGTGGCACCGAGCACGAGAATTCTCAGAGGCGGGTTTGTGACAACCCAACTACCCTGGCCCAACTCAGCTCAACTCAAATCAGCGCACCACACACCTTCTGGGAAACCGCCTGATGACAGCGTCGTCCAAGTCATGGGGGCGGTTGGTGGCGCCGAGCACGAGAATACGCTCGGCTTGTTTGGATCGCAGCCCATCCCATGCCGCCATGAACTCGTTCTTGAGCTTCCTCATTGCACTGTGCTCTGAGTCGCCGCCTCGCCGCCCCAACATGCTGTCCACCTGATGGGGAGACAGCAGGCACACACAGAAAAGGAGAGTTGAAGGGAGGGCATGTTGCACAGCAAAGGGACATCCTTTTGTAGCTTCCACACAGGAGCTGTGATCTGTGCCTCTTTCACCATTGCCCCAACGCGCTGCCTTGCTGGCAGTATGGTGGTGGCATGGAAAATACTCCAGCAAGAAAGCAGGCGTGCAGAGCAAGGTCAATAAGACGAGTAGGAATTGTTCTGTTAAATGCATGTTGTTGTGCGAGTGGGCAAGATGAAATCAGCACCCCACACCCGTTGGTACATTCAGAGCAGAGAGGATACAACAAGGTGGTGCCATACATATTAGAAATTGAATCACCCAGCTCGTAAAGAGTATTTATTGCCCCCTCAACTCAAGGCTCATGCCGTCCATTATCACTCACTCACCCACCTCCTTCGCCACTTAATCACCCACTCCCTCACCTCGTCCACGAAGATGACACATGGCGCGATTTTACTGGCCAGCGTGAACACGGCCTTCACATACTTCTCTGCCTCTCCGAACCACTGGTGGCCAAGCGAGGGGAGAGAGGGGGCGCAGAGGGAACAGTAAGGAGGACACAAGGAGGAGGCTCAGAAAGGGGCTGCAAAGGAGATGTGGGGGGAAAGGGAGAAGCGAGAAGAGCAGAGATGAGAAACAGCAGTAGCACAAGTAGGGGGAGCATAGAGCGGACGAGATGACATAGAGGAGAAGGAGAGAAGCGCACCTTGGGGGCGATAGAGGATAGAGGACTCACCAGCCGCATGGAGAGGGGCAGCTAGGGCGAGAGGAGCAGCACAGAGAGGAGGAGAGCACATACAGGTGAGGAGAGGTACAAACCTTTGATGCAACAGAGGCCATGGAGAGGTACGAACCTTTGATGCGACAGAGGCCATGGAGAGGTACGAACCTTTGATGCGACAGAGGCCATGGAGAGGTACGAACCTTTGATGCGACAGAGGCCATGGAGAGGTACGAACCTTTGATGCGACAGAGGCCATGGAGAGGTACGAACCTTTGATGCGACAGAGGCCATGGAGAGGTACAAACCTTTGATGCGACAGAGGCCATGGAGAGGTACGAACCTTTGATGCGACAGAGGCCATGGAGAGGTACGAACCTTTGATGCGACAGAGGCCATGGAGAGGGAGATGAAGTTGGCGCCTGACTCCGTAGCAACCGCCTTGCCCAGCATTGTTTTGCCTGTGCCCGGTGGACCAAACAGCAGCAGCCCCCTCACCGGCTGTGAGGAGGGGTGCGTGGGAGGGGAGGAGGGTGGGGAGGGGTTGGCTGAAGCAAGAGTGGTGGGGTAACACGCAGGTATCACCTCCCTGACTCCGTGGCCACTGCCTTGCCCAGCATCGCCTTGCCCAGCATCGCCTTGCCCGTGCCCGGAGGGCCGAACAGCAGCAGCCCCCTCACCGGCTGTGGGGTTGGTGGGGGACGGGGTTGGTGAGGAAGAGGGTGATTGGGAGGCGGGCAAATGGGAGAGGGGCACAGTGAGTGAGGCGATGCGTCGAAGCGAGGGGAGCACCAGTAGCCTGTATTATAGTGGCAGTGGGGTATAGGAATGCGAGCTGGGCGGCGTGAGCGACTAGAATGGGCAAATGGGGGTTGGGGCAATGGGAGGCAGGGAAGGGAGGAGTGAGCCGGGAGGTTGGGTTGGGTGGGAGGGAATGCAAGTCAAGGAACATGTAGGAAGAAAAGGGGAACGAAAATGTAGCACAGCCTTATGAAGAATACCTTGGTGAGTTGCCCCGTTTGGAAGAGCTCGGGGCGCTGCAGCGGCAGCATGACGACCTCCGTGAGAGCCTCCTTCACGCCCTCCAATGTGCGGATGTGCTCAAAGAGTGGTCACAGAAGATCCTCAGCACAGCTTCATGCAACAGTACCTTGGTGAGCTGGCCGGTCTGGAAGAGCTCTGGTCGCTGCAGCGGCAGCATGACCACCTCCCTTAAAGCCTCCTTCACGCCCTCCAGCGCGCCGATGTGCTCAAAGCGCACCCCCAGCTCCTCCGCAGGTATCACCTCCCCCAGAAGCAGCCGCTCAAAGTCGTTGTCACACGTCACGTCCTGAGGGCGGGTGGAATGGGTTGCCAGAGAAGAACTCTGTAAAAGCGCATATGTTCAACAGACCTAGGCAGCAGGTCGGGCCAGCAGGCCGCACTGTGGTGAGTCAAACGCCCATCGTTGTTTGAAACACTGCAAGCTCCTATCCTGACAGGACAGCTCCTATCCTGACAGGACAGCTCCTCGTTAAGCACACTCTGAAGCCCACCTTAAGTGCCTTGCGCTGTGTGGCTGGCTGCTGCTGAGATGCTCCCTCCACCACCTCCACTCCATGCTGAATACTGCCGCCCAGTGGTGATTGCAAAAGAGAGAAGGTGAATGGATAGCAGCAACACACAATGAGCAGGTCGGCGAATGTGACAACAGCAAGAGGTGCTATTATCGGTTGATATGATACATGGGCACTGCTGAACTGAAAGCAAGGTGCATGCAAGTGCCATTGGTTGGGGTGAGGGCGTGAGAAAGTGAGAATGCAAATGTGTGAGAGGGTAAGAGCAGAACAGGGTGAGAGGGTGAGAGGGTAAGAGCAGAACGGGGTGAGAGGGTGAGAGGGTGAGAGGGTAAGGGAGTGACAGATGAAGCAGACCTGGAGAGAGAGAGCGGGAGGCGGGCAGGAGGCGTGTCGGCTTGTTGGCTGTGCTGTAGCTGGTGACTGATGGCCCACCCCACCATGCGCTCCGCTCCTGATCATGGGTGCGAAGGGAACTGAGCAGACTTACGAGTTGAAAACAAAGAGAATGTGAGGTACTCTTCCTATACTCAGCATACGGAATGAAAAGAAGGGTGTGTGAATTTACTTACCCTCCTGGGGAAGAGAGTGCGAGGCGATTGAGAGTCTGTCAATGTCTGCACACTCCACTCCCGCCGTGCACATCACCTGCTCACATGCACACATGAACTCAATCACACATGCACATGCACAGACACACACACACATCATGTTTTGCTTTAGAACAGACGGTCATATGCATGAGCTTGGATCAGGTAGCAGTGGGCGGAGACAGAGGTAAGCCGACCATACTGGTAACCTGCCACACATCAATGACCCCACCCCACCACCTATAACCACATTCCACCACCTAGGGATGAGCAAGGGGCGAACACGAACATGTTCGTGTTCGCCCCTACACGAACACATCCGTTTGCCGAACCGAACAGTGTTCGGTTCGGCGAACACTTAAAGCAAAAACACGTGTTCGCCGTTCGCCTGTGAAGGCGTGTTCGGGCGAACCTCGAACACGTTCGTGTTCGTCGCGGGGCAAATTGCAGCAGCGGCCCGAACACGAACGTGTTCGGGCGAACCTCGAACACTGTTTGGCGAACACTTTAAGCAAAAAAAAAACCCTGTTTCGGTTCGCCTCGAACAGGTGTTCGCCCTTGTGCTCATGTCCACCACCACCCATCACAGCACTCCCATCACCACACCGCACACCACCACCCATCACCACACCGCACACCACCACCCATCACCACACCACACACTACCACCCATCACCACACCACACACCACCACCCATCACCGCACTCCACCCACCGATCTAAGCAGGCGGCGGTTGCTCTCAGCGCGCATCAGCTCCACGTCACCCTCCAGCTGCCTCGCCCAATCACGCTGCGCCACGTCATCGTCTTGTGCGGGCGGCAGCACCGGGATGGAGGTGGGGAAGAGGCGAGACACCGCCCTGCCGCCCCCCTTGCCCCCGCCGCCCTCCCCGCGTCCGTCCTCTGGCCGTGAGGAGAGCTGGTCCTGAGGTATGGGAGGAGTAAGAGGGGGCCTTTTCCAAGATGAACCAGGGAGAGCGCATAAGGGTGGGTCGGATCAGAACCGAAGGTGCGCCACAACACGGGGCCTTTGCAGCTCCGTCCGCGGGCAGTGGATGTGGGGCGGGCTGCTATGTGGCATGGGCGTACCAGGAAGGAGAGGTCGAGGAGAGCAGAGAGCTTGTCCGTGGGCTTAGGGGCTGCTGCCGCTGCTGGCGGCTAGGGGAGCAAGGATGGGCGTACCAGGAAGGAGCGGCGGGGCGGGGCCCTAACAGGAAGGAGAGGTCGAGGAGAGCAGAGAGCTTGTCTGTGGGCTTGGGGGCTGCAATGTGGCATAGCAAGGATGGATCATAGCAGCAAGGACGGGCGGCACCCTACCAGAAGGGAGGGCCAGGGCGGGGGCGTACCAGGAAGGAGAGGTCGAGGAGGGCAGAGAGCTTGTCCGTGGCCTTGGGGGCTGCTGCCGCTGCTGGCGCCTGGGGGGCGGCAGAGAGAATGACACAGCACAGCGAGGGGAGGTGGTGCGATGGGAGGAAGGATTGCAGGGAGGAGAATGAGTAAAGCAGAGTCGCTTTGAGTGGATTGAAAGGCTTGGAGGGAGCTCGGCGGATAGAACAGAGCGAGGAGAAGTTTTGGGAGACAGGGCGAGGTGAAGGTTGAGTGAGGCGACGGGCAAGCAGGGTGGAGTGCGCAGATAAGGATGGCGCTGAGGCGAGGGGTGAAGGAACAAGAGGTGGTGGTGGAAGCATGCGGCTGTTGCACACACACCACATGCCCTTGCCATTCGCCCTGTCAGGCCGCATCATGCATGCCTGCCATGACATTCCATGCGCCATGTCATGCCACATCATCATGCATGGCTGTTGTGTCACGCCACATCATCAACATGCATGGCTGCTGTGTCATGCCATGCATGGCTGCCACCCACCCACCTTGTCCTTTTTGGGCGGCACTGTGTGGGAACCAATCACCACCAGCCGCAACGGTTCACTCTTCTCCTTCCCATCCTTCCCATCCTTCCCCTCCTTCCCCTTGTCCCCTTTCTCTCCCTTCTCCCCCTTCTCCGCACCTCTCTCCCCAACAACACCCAAGCGCTCCATGCGCTCCAGCCTCACGAGCCGCTCGTAATGCGCTGCTGCGATTCTGTCTGCGCCCGGGATGAACACAATGAGCGGGGTTGTGGCCGCTACGGTTGCTGCCACCTGGCAGTACAACGCATCGGTTGAAAACGGGAGGAGGGAGGAGAAGGGGAAGAAGAAAACACACGAGAATTGAAGGGGATCGTGTAATGAGCACAATGAGCGGAGGTACAGCTTTCAAATCTAGCGCAAGGTCACTGCCTCTCTGTCTGCGCCAGGTCTGAGCGTGGTTGACGCTGATATGGTTGCTGCCACCTGGCAGTACACTTCGGATGGACCTTAGGAATGAAAGTCCTATATCAGGTCCATCCGAAGTTTGGAAGGGAGTGTTCTGAGATAAGTGACATACTTTCTGCCTACTCTTGTAAACCATTCAATGTGTAAAATTTTGTGACATGTCCTTATGTTGTGTCTTGCAGATAGAGGAGGGAGTTAAATATCATAACAAATATTTTGACAATGTGAAAATATGCCTTAAAAACGCTCTCAGGTTGTACGCTCCAATACTGACCCCCACTCCGCCCACTCACCGCCATGCAATGGTCCACCAGTTGCTTCTCCACGTCATCTGCTGCTGCCCCCTCCAGCCGCAGCTCCGACACTACCCAAGGGCATGCGGAAAGGAAAGCGGGGGAGGAGGAGAGAAAGAAGGGAAGAGTGGTGGGTGACGCGCAAAGAGGCTCTTGGGTCGCCTTAAACGCCGCCCCCTCCGGTCGCAGCTCCGACACTACCCAAGGGCATGGGGAGAAGGGGGGACAGGATGGTGCAAATCATAAGGCACCTCTTGAGTCGCCTCAAACCTGCGACGGAGGGCAAGGGGACAGGGAAGGCAAACTACCATGGCACCATTGCCCATGCCCCTCGCCACACACGTCCACCAGACTGCTGCCGCCCAGGATGGGCTTGTTGATTGAACCTACCATGACACCACCAGCTATGCACTTGTCAGTATCTACCTCTCAAGCTCCTCAATGGATGAGCATACCTACCATGGCACCACGCGCCGTCACACACGTCCACCAGACTGCTGCTTCCAGGAATGGGCGTGTGAGATCTATTGCCACACTAAGAACCACGCACCTGTGCGTGTCAATATCTACCTCTCAGCTGTCTCGAATTGCATCCTACCTACCATGGCACCACGCGCCGTGCCCCTCGTCACACACGTCCACCAGACTGCTGCCACCCGGGATAGCTTGTTGAATCTAGCTGCACACCAAGAAAGAACCACGCACCTGTGTGCATCAATATATACCTCTCAGCTGCCTCAACTTCCAGCCAACCTACCGTGGCACCATGCCCCGTGCCCATCGTCACACACGTCCACCAGACTGCTGCCACCTGGGATGGGCTTGTCAAAACGCACGCCCACGCGGTGTGGATTTTCCTCCAGCACCACCACCACTCGCCCCTTCAGCCCCACTGGGGGGCCGCGCCTGGCATGCACAAGGCAAGGAAAGGAAGTTCAATGAATAGGGACGGGGGGGTTGAATCAATAAGAGGCAGAGGGGTGGGCTTGTCAAAGCGCACTCCCACATGGTGGGGGTTTTCTTCCAGCAGCACCACTACGCGCCCGTTGAGACCCACTGGTGGCCCGCGCCTGGAGAGAGGAGGACGCACAACGAGGAAAAGGAATGCATTGAGTGGGGATGAGGGTTGCACGCAAGCAGACGGATGGGCTTGTCAAAGCGCACTCCCACGCGGTGGGGGATTTCTTCTAGCAACACCACCACACGCCCCTTCAACCCCACTGGTGGGCCGCGCCTGGCATGAGCACGCACAGCAGGGGCAGGTGTAGGAAGGGGGTTGCAGGGAGGCAGAGGGATGGGCTTGTCAAAGCGCACTCCCACTCGGTGGGGGTTCTCTTCTAGCACCACCACCACGCGCCCCTTCAACCCCACTGGTGGGCCGCGCCTGGCATGATCAGCACAACAAGAGAAGGGATTGAATTGAGTGGGGAAAGGGGCTGAAGGGAGGCAGAGCGATGGGCTTGTCGAAGCGCATGCCCACTCGGTGGGGTTTTCTTCCACCAGCACCACCACACGGCCCTTCAACCCCACGGGGGGGCCACGCCTGGAATGAGTTAAGGGAAGGGAGTGTATTGGGAGGAGGTGACTTTTGAGTCGACTCAAAAGTCACGGCCCTTCAACCCCACTGGTGGGCCACGCCTGGAATGAGTTAAGGGAAGGGAGTGTATTGGGAGGGGGTTTGGAGGGACGCACAGGGATGGGCTTGCCAAAGCGCTCGGCTGCTCGGTGTGAAGGATCATAGGGGCAGCGGTGGGAGAACAGGAGGGGTTGGCCGAATGGCGCAGCGCAAACAGAAGAGCAAGCATGTGAGGAGGGATTAGAAGAGCAAGCATGTGAGGAGGGATTAGAAGAGCAAGCATGTGAGGAGGGATTAGAAGAGCAAGCATGTGAGGAGGGATTAGAAGAGCAAGCATGTGAGGAGGGATTAGAAGAGCAAGCATGTGAGGAGGGATTAGAAGAGCAAGCATGTGAGGAGGGCTTAGAAGAGCAAGCATGTGAGGAGGGATTAGAAGAGCAAGCATGTGAGGAGGGATTAGAAGAGCAAGCATGTGAGGAGGGCTTAGAAGAGCAAGCATGTGAGGAGGGCTTAGAAGAGCAAGCATGTGAGGAGGGCTTTTTTTAGATTTCTCAACAAATCCCTGCAACAGAGAGCAAGCACGTGAGCATGAGCATGGGATTCAGATGTGCGAGAGGGAGGAGGAACTGGTGACTGATGAAGCAGAGGGAGCGGGAGGAGCAACGGCGAGAGCGAGGGGCAGTGTGCAAGAGGCTCGAATACTGACATGGAGGGTGGCAGAAGCGAGGCCGATGGCGGTGGGGGTGCAGCAGAGGAGAGCGAGGGCGGGCCCATGTAGCGCACTCTGTCGCCTGGGGGCGGGGAGGGCGAAGGCGAGGGCGAAACGTGAGGCAGGGAGGGTTGAACAGGCAGGGGAGAGCGAGGGCGGGCCCATGCAGCGCACTCTGTTGCCTGGATGAGGGGTGGGCGAGGGCAAGGAAAGAATGGGCAGGTTCACAAGGAGGATGGGGCCATGCCATGTACCTGACTCTGTCCCTTGAGAGAGTGGGCAGCAATTGCAGATATTGTTTTGGCTAAGTGGAGCAGAGATTGCTCGAAAATTACAAACAAAACAGGGAAAATATATAATTATACACACACACACACACACACACACACACACACACACAAACACATACACACACTCACACACCCACACACACACACACACACACACACACGGGAAGGGCAAGTATGCGAGGACACTACCACGTTGCCAGTCCATAGGGGGCTCTTCCAGAATACCTTTCTTAAAACCCTTCTTCGACCCCTCCACACTCTCGCTGCTCTTCTTCCCATCGCTTCCAGCACCCTCCTTCTCCTTCTCCCCCTTGCTCTTCACCTTGTGCCCTGTACCTGCCACCGCTGCCCCACTCCCCGCCTCATCCCTGCTCCCACCCTTCCCTGCACCATCCCCCTCACCCGCTCCCTCCTTCGCTGCGCTCTTCGATCCCTTGCTGCTACCCTTCTTCTTATGGTGGGAGGAGGACAACGAGGAGGAAGAGGAGGATTTGGAGTGGTGGGAGTGGGAGCGGGGGATAAGCGAGGAGGAGAGCTCCTTCAGCTTCACTGCTCGCAGATCCACACCGCCTTTCCCTCCTCCCGCACCCCCACTGCTGCGTTTACTCGACGTGCTGCTGCCCTGCTGCCCCTCCTGCTCCTCCTCCTCCTCAGGCCTATTGGGCTTGCCATCGTCAGCAGCGGCAGTGCTGGTGTGGGTACTGCCAGTGTGTGCAGTGCTGGGGGGCGGTATGCTGTCCGGCTGCGTGCTGGCAGAAGGATTACCAGCAGCAGCGCCACTCTGCTCCGCCTCCTCGCACGTAGAAGCAGACAACGCAGCACCAGCGGGAGAAGAGGCAGCAGTTGCAGTGACGATAGGAGCAGCCAGATTAGGAGGATGAGAAACTGTGCTGCATGCGGTATTGCCAGCACTGATAGCACAGGCGGCACTGCAGCTGTTGCTGCCATAATCAGGAAGAGCAGTGCAAACACCACCTGCCCCGTGCACACACGGCACACTCTGCAGCCCTCCTGCCTCCCCCCCTGCTCCCCCACCCTCCCTCTCCGCTTCCTCCCTCTCCGCCTCTTCCCTCTCCGCCCCTTCCCCCTCCCTCTCCACCCCGTCCCCCTCCATCTCTGCCCTCTCACCCTCCCCCTGCGCCTCCGCCCTATCTCCCCCCTGTCCCTCATCCATCGCATCTACCAACTCCAGTTCCCCTGACGCCACGTCAGCAGCCCCATCACTCTCCACATCAGCAGCCACGGCAGAGTCACCCCCTCCCCCATCCGCACCTCCCCTCTCCGCGGACACTTGTTCCCCCCCTGCAGCCACACTCGTGAGACCAGCGCCTTGCGCCTCCCCTGGCGCCCCTGTCTCTCCCGCCCCCTCCCCACTCACTGCACCGCCATCTCCTTGCCTCCCCTCCTCGCCCTCCTCCTCTTCCTCCACCTCCTCCTCCCCGTCACGCACCTCTGCTGCATCCCCAGAACTCTCGCCTACACCTACCTCCATGCCCGCTCCTCCTCCTTCCCCGCCCTTTCCTCCTACTTCCCCTGCTTCTGTGTGCCCTGTCGCAGCACTCACACCCGGCCCTGCCACCGTATCAGGTGACTCTCCCCCCACTGCTGGTGTTGCTGCCACTCCTGCTGCTGATGTTGAAGCTGCTGCCGATGCTGATTCTGATCCTGGAGATGACGCCGATTCTAATGCCAATGTTGCTCCACTGGTGGGGGCTTGAGGCAAAGCACCGCCTGACTTGGTTGCAAGGGCCACCTGTGGTGCACAGAGCATCAAACTGAAATCAGTTCTTTCGGTGCCTCATAATACAAGACACAGCCGTGGTTGCTTGCACCCCTGCGTTGCACAGAGCATACAGAGAATGAGACACAAACCGCTTGTTTTGGCGCCTGCACCAGCTGTACCTACGCAATCCTACCTGCACCAGCTGTACCTACGCAATCCTACCTGCACCAGCTGTACCTACGCAATCCTACCTGCACCAGCTGTACCTACGCAATCCTACCTGCACCAGCTGTACCTACGCAATCCTACCTGCACCAGCTGTACCTACGCAATCCTACCTGCACCAGCTGTACCTACGCAATCCTACCTGCACCAGCCATGCCTGCACGAGCCATACCTGCACGAGCCATACCTGCACGAGCCATACCTGCAGCAGCATGTTGGGGAGATCAAAGATCAGAAGCTTCGCATCCAGGTGCCGAGCCAACGCCCGAACCAGCTGCTCCTGGTACCGCTCCGAGCCTGCAGGTTCGGGGTGCAAGGAAACAAACAAGGCAGGGACAGCGTTGTGGGGGTGACAAGCCTTGCGGCTTGCGAATTCTCGAAAGTGCCTTGCACACAGGCGCACATGATAACAGCTAGAGGAACCCAGTGGTTAGAATAATCAATTGCGAGACAGGGTAGAGACTCGAAAGCTCATACTTGACTCCTCGCTCAACGCATCACTGACAAGAATTGTGAGACATGTGGTTGCAGACGAAGGAATTTTGCACCGAGAGACGGGAGAGAAAGAGGGAGGGGTGCCTGGGGGTGGAGAGAGGATGAGAGAGGGGGGAGACCTGGGGGGGAGTGAGGATGAGAGAGGGGGGAGACCTGGGGGTGGAGAGAAGATGAGAGAGGGGAGGGACCTGGGGGGGAGTGAGGAGGGACCTGGGGGGGCGCAGAGGAGCGCGCGGAGAGCGCGGGGAGGTGGGCAGTGAAGCGCAGGAACTCGGGGCGACCTAGGGGGAGACCTAAGGGGGAGGGAGAGGGGCGACCTAGGGGGAGGCATATGGGGAGGGAGAGGAAGGATCTGGGGGGAGGGAGAGGAAGGACCTGGGGGGAGGGAGACCTAGGGGAGGGAGAGGGACGACCTAGGGGGAGGCATATGGGGAGGGAGTGGGGGGACCTGGGGGCCCGGAGAGCAGGATGCGCGCAGAGAGCGAGGGGAGGTTGGCGGTGAAGCGCAGGAACTCGGGGCGAGGGGAGAGAGAGGAAGGAGAGAGAGCAGGAAGGGAGGGGTGGGCACCTGGAGGGCCGGAGAGGAGGATGCGCGTGGAGAGCGAGGGGAGGTCAGCGGTGAAACGCAGGAACTCGGGGCGGCGCAGGCGGATGAAACACGCATCCACCAGCGCGTTGCGCGTGGCATCACTGCCACGGGGGGGATGGGGAACGGGGGGGAAGGGGAGGGGGAAAGGGAGGGCAGTTGAAGGCCCAGCGCGCAACTGCTAGAGGCGGCGCAGAGCGAGGCGGAAGAGAGACGATCAACTAACAAGCAGCCGTTCCTATCAAGCCAGTAGCCAGTAGCTAGTAGCCAGTAGCCAGTAGCCAGTAGCCAGTAGCCAGTAGCCAGTAGCTAGTAGCTAGTAGCTAGTAGCTAGTAGCTAGTTGATTGTTGATTGTCGTGCTACTGGCCTTGCCGCGACGGTCAGTAGCGACCAGCGAGCAGACCTGAGATAACACAGACAGGCAGGTGGGCAAGCAACGAGACTGAATTCCCTCCTCTCTTCATCCGCGGAAGGCTGCGAGCGGACCTGAGATAGTACGGAAACGAGTCGAAGGAGACTTGTAACGCGGATGATTCGATAACAGCGCTCATGACCACGTCGCGATGGAGCTGCCCTTCCTTCGTCAACGGCCCCACGCCGTACCCGCCGCTCGCGGTGATATTCCCGCCGCCGCTGATGATACTACTACTGCTCGTGCCGGCCTTTTTTGTCGTCTTCTCCTTAGTCTTAGTAGTCTTAGCGTCTTTCTTTCCGTCATTGGTGCGGAGCATGCCGATCAGAAGCCCTAGGGAATAGGGAAACACTGTCGCCGTCACCGCCGCCGTCGCGCCGGCCGCGACGCCGGCGGAGACGGCGGCGACGAAGAGGAGGATCGAACGGCGGTCGATACATGCGACGTAGGACGAATCCTGATTCATGCTGGCTGTGAGTGAAAGCTCATCCGTGAGTTTAACTGACAATCTGGATCATGAGCACCATCAGTCCGTTCCTACACGTGTGAGAGACGAGCAGTTCGGTCTAATTCAATTCTCTACGCAACGTTACTGTGAAAAACCGAATTCAGTAGTCTCCGTGAAGGTGCTCGCGCGGTAAACGGAAGCTGTGCAATTGCAATTCCATGGCTCTGCTCTGCTACTTGTCTGGGCTGGAGTGTTGCTTGCTTCACTTGACACAGCACAAGTTGCTTGTGGCTTGCTTTGCGTCAGAATATCCGATACAAACTGTGTCCGTTACGGTTCGACGAATCAAAACTGGTTCATCAAAAGGGCAATGATTTCAAAAACAGGTGACCTGATATATAATAGAAACCGCTAAATTGCACCCAACATTCAACCCCACAAACGCTGAAGGGACATCTACATCTGTTTTATAGCATATACTACATTGCAGAATACAGCTTAGATACGGTAAGAAACAGTCTCAGCTCTTCCCTTCCAAGGTAATTGTGATTGTAACTTCATTATCTCCTCTCAGCACTCTTGCCTCCACCTGCACCCACAGCAAAAGCAACCGCATCATGTCAAACATTAGAAACATCATTTGTTATACAATGTACGTATAAAAACTAGAATTGCAACAAGTTTTCACTCAATGCTAGATTTTCCCGGCATCTCACCTTCTGGCCAACCTTGCAGCGGTCAAGGCCGCAGTAGAGGTCGAATCCGTTGCATACGGTGCTGCCATCAATGCCTGTGATGATGTCCCCCACTGCCCTCGCAGCTCACCTTCTGGCTAACAGCGGTCGAGGGAGCTCACCTTCTGGCCAACCTTGCAGCGGTCGAGGATGCGGTAGAGGTCAGAGCCGTTGCGAACCGTGTTGCCATCAATGCCTGTGATGATATCCCCCAGCACCAGCCGCCCATAGCTGTCCCGAGTCGTTGGCCGGATGCCCTGCACACACCAGCAACACATAGAACCACACAGAACCAAACAGAACCACCAAACAGCCCTCGTTAAAACAAGGCCATGATATAAGCTCACAGTACCAATCAGAAACACTCTGGCGTACCCCTCTCACTATAAACATTGGGAAATGTGGGAATATTCAGGCACTGATGCGCTCTGCATGCATGCTGCACCCACCGCTTTCCCTGCAGGCCCAGAGGGCGGAGCATCGAGCACGAGCACGCCAGCCACGCCCAGCTGCTCCAGCGACTGCTCGGGGGCGAAGGAGATGCCCAGCACTGGCCGCGTGACCTGCCCGTACTTGATAATCTGCTCCACTATGCCTGCTACCTGGCGTGCAGGAAAACAGGGGACGAGGAGGAAGAGGAAAAGGACAAAGAAGGATACTTTCAGAGATGTCCCACCAAGGTTGCGCCTTGAGTATTAGGAAGGGCAGAGGAACGAGAAGCAGAGATCCAGGAACTACAGAAAGCCTGCCAAATCCAGCCGTCTGCGTGGAAAGAGAGTGCGCACGGCGCAACACAGGGCACTCAGAACACTGACGGCACTGACCGTGTCAGCGGGAATTGAAAACCCAACCCCAGAGGAGGCCCCAGAGGGAGAGTAGATGGCGGTGTTGATGCCGATGAGGTTGCCGTTGGAGTCCAGCAGCGGACCCCCGCTGTTGCCCGGGTTGATGGCCGCGTCCGTCTGTATCACGTCCTGGATGGGCCGGCCCGTTGCTGCACTGCTGATCTCCCTCCGCAGCCCACTGTGGAATGGGGAACGGGAGGAGTGGGAATGGGGAATGCATCAACAACAAGCACATGGTTGTTGCAACGGGCAGAGCTGCTGTTGCATAAGTAGATAGCCGCGTCTGTCTGTATCACGTCCTGGATGGGCCGGCCTGTTGCTGCACTGCTTATCTCCCTCCTCAGCCCGCTGTGAGGACGGGAGGAGATGTTTGGGTATGTGAGGAAAGAGAGGAGCTGGAATGGTTGCTGCATTTGTCAGAGTCGCATTGTTGTTTCGCAATGAACATGAACACACCAAGAAGCAATGAAACAGGGAAACAAACAGACAAACAGACAGGCAGGCAGACAAACGACCGAGTGCATGGCTGCAGCAGGGTGGACGGTTGTAATGCATTCCATGCCATATGTGTTAAACGTACCTGATCACGCCTGTGGTGAGGGTATGGTCCAAACCGAACTGCACAAGCGAGCATGCGTTGGGAGGGAAGGGAGCAAGGGGAGGAAGCATAGTGGAGTGGTGATGATGAGCACATGACGACATGCATGATGCCTCCATCGTGCCATGGCATGTGGCACAGGGTGCGTTTTGAGTCAAACCAAAGCTAGCTTCATAAGCACATGCGCTTAAACAAGATGCCCCCATCATGCCATGGCAGGCGGTAAGGCCACACAGGAAGGGGGAAGGGTGCGGGCACACATGCCCCTCCGACAAGGCACAGTACCATATCAACCTGGACATCGCATAACTATTTACCATTCTCACCTGGTTACCACACAGCACACTCAGGTTACTCGTTGCACTCTTCACCTGGTTACCTGGTAACCGCACACAGCACACTCACGGGGTTCCCAATGGCGTAGACGCGCTGCCCCATTTGCAGGTCGAAGGATCTCCCTACTCGCAGCGGCCGCAGCTTGCTCCTGGGCGCGTCGATGTGCAGCACTGCACTGCACTGCACTGCACACTCAGCAGGTTACCTGGTACCAATTAGCAAACTCACAGGGTTCCCAATGGCGTAAACCCGCTGCCCCACTTGCAGGTCAAACGAGCTGCCCACTCGCAGCGGCCTGAGCTTGCTCCTGGGCGCGTCGATGTGCAGCACTGCCACGTCCTTGTCACGGTCGTACCCCACCACGTCAGCCGCGTACACTGATTGGTCCGCCAACGTTACCCTGTTGGGAGCGGTGGAAGCAGGAGGGGGCGCGGTGAACAGGCAGTGTGCCACCAGTGCTGGGCATGGCATGTGTCACATCACATGGCATGCTGGCGCTGTGCTTGGGAAGAGACGTCACACTAGCAGTTGACGTGCATTCTCTAATGGTTCACATTCAAGGTCACCTTAGTGAATAACGTTCAAGTTCACAGTAGTCTCACTTCAGGTTTTCCTACTCTAGTGTTCAGCATTCCTAGAACCAGTGTGGAGACACTGGAGAGACACAGACTGTCCCTAGCTGACCTGACCCCTTACTTGACTTGACTCGACTTGACTTGACTCACCGTAGGTCGCTGGAGTTGCGAATCACGTGGTAATTCGTCACCACGTGGCCTTCGCGGTCCCAGATGAACCCCGACCCGGACCCCTGCGGAACCTCCATCACGTCAAGTGTAAACACGTCCCTCCGCACGGCCAGATTCGTGATATACACGACACTCGGTGTCGTTTCGTTGAATAGTTGCACCGTCGCTTGCTCGTCCGGCATCAGCTTGCGCGGCGGCGCTTGCACGATGGCCGTCGCCGGCGCGCTGACGGACGTCAGCAGCACGGCGCTGACGGCCAGCGACACGAACAGCCGGCCGGCTTCTCTGAGTATGTCGGATGGTTCCGGGAGGTTGAATTGACGGCTCAGATGCGACCGCCAGAGGGCGAGACGGTGAACCAGGACCGTCCATGGGGCTTCTGATGGTGACATTGACAAGAGATTCTGGTTGAGCTGATCAAATGACTCGCTGAACGGCTTTCGCGAAACAACCGCCTTGTCACGCGCTTCAGCTCCGCCGCCTGAACTCCATCCATTAACGAGTTCATCCCCGTTTGAAGCCTCGCTGCTGCTGGCATTGGGAGAAATGGTAGCAGAGACCGCGACGAGGCGACGTGAAGAAGCAGTGCCGCGGACACCACGGAAGCCTACGCCTCTAGAGGCCGCTAAGCTATTCGTGAAGAATCGCTTCTTGCCGAGAGGCGAAGTGGATGAGCGTTGAATGAGGATAGCACACGAGGAAACTGGAGAGCTGGGCCTGGGTTGCCGTGAGCTAAGAGAATGCTGAACGCACGACTCGGGGGGAGCAGCGCAGAACGCGCCTTGGGATAGGCCAAGTTCCATTGTGCTCACTCACTGACACCGGATACTCGACCAAGCGGGAGAGCTATCGGCCTTGAGTGTTGGTTGCTCCCTAGAGCGTTGCACAGATGCTGCGAGTTGTACGCAAACCTAGGGAATTCCTATGTCAGTGAAAATGTGAGGTGTGATCATCATGATTGGAAGTACCTTTTTGAAGCAGCTGCGTGGTGGTGGAGGAAAAGCACCAGCTCGGTGCTCATCCGTGGATCCGTCTGTGTACAGATCAGTTCGGTATGGTTTTTTCTGGTGCGCATTGATCCAAACTGGTGAACAGCGTTCCAGAACGGTGAACATCAAGGACCGCTCCCACACGCCAGAGCACCAAGCACCCAGCAGAAATTCGGGAAATTTCAGGATGCGTGAGGTTCAAGAAATCGTGTGGAGATTTCGTCCATGTCAGACGAGGCTTGTATACGTGGATTGTACACGTGTAATCGTCTGGTTATTACATGCTGTACAGCTGGTCTGGCTGGGGGTCTCCAGAAGGCATCAGATTTTCAGTTCACTGCGGTTTTGTGGGATGCGCTACTCGGCAAACCAGCTCGCCTACTTTCTTCCACGATTTTCGAGCTACTGGTAAGTGGAATCTTGTCACAGGTCTTCATGTGGGAAAAACTACCGCTAGTTTATTGTCAAGGATGTGAGTTGATACTCGTTACGGTATATCTGACAAAGGATTAATGGCCAGAGCGTTATCAGACTCAAATCATGTGATGGCCCAAATCATCTGACTAAGGATGACATGGTAATCACAGCCGAAGGAACTTTCAGGCCAAGCTTCATGAATGGAAGACAAGACATAAACAAACTTCATGAGCTAGTTGTAGAATGCGAGAAAAAAACAACAATAAATCGGTACATTATACTTTATATATGTACATGTTGGGATCCAGGTCTAGGCAGCAAACGATTTGCCACATCCACAGGTAGCGGAAGCGTTAGGGTTGCTGAATGAGAAGCCACCACCGATAAGAGCGTCGCTGTAGTCTAGCCGCATGCCGAACAGAAAGAGAAGGCTCTTGGGATCACACACTGCGAAAATGAAAGCGAATACGAGAAGAATGTTGAGAAACCGGTAATCATAGAGTACTCTAAGAAACCGGGAAACATCAAGCGACAATCAACAGAGGCGTCAAACGGGCCTCTATAAAGAATTACGCACCCATAGAGAAGCCTTGGTAGTCGACAATCGAGTCGCCTTCCTGGATGTTGCCTCGCTCCTCGAAGTCCATGACGTAAGAGAAGCCTGAGCAGCCACCCTGTCTGACACCAATGCGCAGCAGCAGATCCTTGTTCAGCTCGGAGCGCATCTTGGTCAGATGCGCCAGAGCCTTCTCAGACAGCGTAATGGCTGGAGTCACGGAAGGAGCCGCCGGTGCTGCCGTCGCTCCTGCAACGTAACAATTCAGGAATGATGTCAGTGAATGCTCATAAACTGAATGGGATGAGGGCACGCGTGTTAATGTGGCAGGAGATGGACTCGTGTGAGAGTGAGGATAGAAACGGGGAATTGCCTACCTCCAGCGCTGCATCGAACGGCGGAGAGGCGTTTCTGAGATCGGAAGGCTACGGACTTGCTAACGCTCTTCGCGCTAGTAGAGTGGGCCTTCAAGGTTGCGTGCTGCCGTGTAGCACTGAACAGGGATGCGCTAACGAGGGTCGAGGTCGCAAGAGCAGCCATGGCCAAGGTAGGAAATTATAACGAGCTACAAAGGTCTGAATAGAATAGGAGCAGGCAGAACCGTCACAGCGATTGCTAATACACTGTGTTTCAGTCAAAAGTGCAAGGTTAGGGCACTGCGCACAGCAATAGCGACTGACGATAGCACTAAAAGTGAGGCAGAAGCTGAAATGTACTAGATTGTTCAGACCTCTGTCCTGTAATTCTTGAAGCCAAAATAAGCATCCTGTGGCTGGGAGAAAGAGGTGGTCAGTTCAGTGCATGGGTGAGTGCCAGCAAATGGGAGAGCAGGGAGCAGATTCCATTCATGAACGAGACTTGACGACAGGGCAAGGTGAACTGTGCTTGCGAAACGAATCTCTCGCAGAGAAAAATATCTGCCTTGTAAGGGTAACCAATATGGCAGTTGGCGAAACAGGTGTCCACTCTCTCATGGTATCTATCTTTGCCCCGAAAAGGCATCAGCGATTCCTGTTTTTCCACGTGGACTAACATATGTACGCGCTTTTGTGCTCGTCTTCGAATCAAACCACAGGTTTTTAGGACAATATATCAAGAAGGCTTTACAATTAGGGTAAACATCCCATTATGACTCAAAGGTGCAATGACAGATCAATTTCCTGCATTGCAATGGCCTTGCATGAGGATTCGACTAGGTGCGCCTTTTGTTGTATGGCTGGCCGGCTACACGCACGCTCAAGCGAAACACAAGAAACAATCAATGAGGCTTGCTTGGCAAGAGCAAGCTTGGTAGACCCAACTTGTGTGGAAACTAGTTGGGGCAACTCTACTGGGTTACACAGCACTCGTGCACGCCTCTTACACCCCTCTCTGGCTGCTTCCTCCCTCTCCTCCATCTGCTTATTCACATCAATCCATCGCATCGCATCGGAACAAGACCGCTTGCGCTGCGCTGCATGCACTTGGCTCAGCATGGCACTCACCACCCGCTGAGGCTGCTGTGGTTGCTGCTGCTTCTGGAGCTGCTGTTGCTGCTGCTGCTGCTGTTTGCATGCAACGTCAGTACGAATCAATGAAACACCCCTCGCCAGCACAAGGGAAGGTCTGCGGGAAAGTGAGCCAGCAGGAACGGCACTGGAACCCATCTCCCGAGCGAGCTTACCCATGCAGTCCACATCTGAACTCTGAGGTGCCTCGCAAATCTCCTGAGGAAGCATGGTCATACGATCGGCGTCAGCACTGCGCTGCTGCAGCAGCAGCCGGTTTCTGCGAGGCACTGGTGCCACATTCACTGCACCTGCACCCCCAGCTGCTCCCGCCATGCCACCCCACTCACACCCCACCTGCTGCTTCTGCTCCCTCCCGCCGACACTAGACCTCCCTCCTGCCCGTTCTGCCCCTCCTGCCATTCCTGCCCCAGCATGTGGTTGTTTGTCCCAGCCTACTGACTCATCCAGCCATCTTCCCCCGTCCCCCCTCCCCCCTGCCTCGAACCCCCCACTCAGGTGCCTCCTCATGTGCCCCCCTAGGGCAGGCCCCGAGGCGAAGAGGGCTCCGCACACACGGCAGGGGTAGCCAGAGGGAGGGGGTAGCGGGGAGAGGGGAGCGAGAGGAGTGGTATGGGGGGAGAGGCGAGCAGGGGGGGGAGAGAGAGGAGCAGGAGGGGGGGAATGGGAAGCGGGACCGGGCAAGGAGAGAGGGGAGACAGGAGAGTGGTTGGGGGAAGGCGAGGGGAGCGGAGAGAGGGTGGGAGCGGCGGGGGGTAGAGAGGAACGCATGGGAGGCAGGAGGGGAGCAGAGGGAACGGTGGAAGCAGAAGCCGGAGGAGCAGGACGTGCAGGGCGAGAAGGGCGGGAGAAGGAATGAACAACATCCTTCTGTGGAGACTCATGGCTGCTTCTGTGGGTCCTGATGCGTGCATCCCCTCTCCCATCACCATAGTTGCTGCCTCTGTCTGTGCTGGCCCGCATCGGTGAAAACGTAGGGGCTGATGGGGAGGGCGTTGGGAGCAGAGCCAGGCTGATCTCCGTGCACACTGCAACTGCAGGGGAAGCTGTGACAGCAGCTGTAGCAAGAGCTTTACTGGCTGTGGCAGGAGTTGGAGCTGTCGCAGAAGCCTCAGCTGTAGCAGGATCTGGGGCTGCAGCTGCAGCGCATTCAGGGTTGGGATTGACTGCACATAACTGTTTCAACTCGTTAACAGAACCCTCGTTAGCAGCACAGGGATCCGAGGGTGACTGCGAGCACTTCACGGCCGAGTGATGATGCTGGGACAGGTGCTTCAGAGGCGAGAGTTTCAAGGGAGACCGATTCACAACGGGGGGAGGTTGCAGTGCCGAGTGAGTCAAGGCCGAACGCGTCAAGGCCGAACCCACCACGACTGAGCCCACCACGACTGAGCCCACCACGACTGAGCCCACCACGACTGAGCGCTCATTTAAGATAGATCTGCCGCCACAAAGGCGAGCATCATTCTCACCCTCCAAACTATAGCAGCGGTCCTTGCCACTTCTACATGACCCTTGCACTGCATCGCCTCCCTCCTGCTCTCCTCGCTCGCCAGCTGGCCCCAGCAGCCATAGCACTGCTGTCTTCTCACTCTCGCCACCACGGGCGCCATGGTTGCCAGGGGTGCCATGGGCACGGCTCCCTCCAGGGCAGCTGCTCTCCCTGCCTCCCCCGGCGCTGCTGCGGCTGCAGCAGCGCTGCTGTTGGGGTTGCTGCTGCTGTGAGTGATGCTGCTGGGGTTGCTGCTGCTGCGGGTGTTGACTGTAGTGGCGCCCAAACACAATCCTGGGGCAGTGAACACCCTGCAGCGCAGAGGTGGTAGCTACAGCCATGCCGTGGCAGCTCTTGCCTCCGTAACTCTGCTGCTGCTGCTGCTGCTGCTGCTGGGAGTGGTGCTGCTGGGTGGGGCGGCTGTGGTACTTGTCCCGGTTTGCAAGGCCGTGTTGACTCTCTTGACTCTGTTGACCGAGGCGAGCCCCAAACAGTAGCATGCTGGCAGCCTTGCTGGCAAAACACGTGAACTCGTACGTCCACACCTTGCGGGATAATAAGTTTTTTAGAAGGAGGGTACCGCGTAATGGGTGAGTTGGCGCTGCTGCTGGCGGCCTTGCTGGAAGACGACGGAAACGCGTGCTTAAAGGTTAAAGGGATTTTAAGTAACAGGCTACCGATGTGAGAGGGTTCGGGCTGCTGCTGCTGCTGCTGCTGCAGCAGCTGGAGAAGGTAAGGAGCGAGGTAAGCACTGGCAGGGGGGGAAACAGGTGCAATTGCTAACTATCGCTAAGAAAAGCGGGTTCAGTATATGAATTAATGAGTAAACTCGCCACTTCGGCTCGTCATGTCCCACCTTTATCCTTCCCAACTTCGCCCCTCCCTGTCCCCAAGCTCGCCCCTTTGCTTCTTCTCTCCCCTTGCTTCCTGTCTCCCACCTCGCCTGTCCCCGCGGCCCTTGTTCAAGACCCCGACTCGATCCACAGCACCTGCTGTCCTGCCTTGTGAACCACAAATTTCAGCCAGCTGTAGCAACGGCTAGCTGCTAGTGGCTGGGGGTTAGCAACTAGTGGACTGGTACCCGTGTATCCCTAGGGACGGGCGCTTCTGGAAGAACAATCTGCTTCTGTAAAAAACACGGGCAGGTTCAAAAAAGGGGGTCAGATTCACGAACCACAGGATGCTGTTTCCACGAGCCTGCAAATGTCAGCCTATTGCCGACGCCTCAAAAGTAGACCGAAGGGGTGTGCACCTGTCAACCACGCAGCGGCTGCTTCCTCTCGTCTGCTGTCTGCCTCCGCTGACTGCGGTCGCCTGTTTCGCCCGTCCCTTGTCCCTCACGCAATATTCCTTCCACCTGTGTCTCCCACCGCGCTTGCAAGCCGTACTGGCGTCGACAACTCGACAAGGCGCGTGACGCGAGCCGCAGCAGCGCGCGAGGAAGCTGACATGCACACGGCGAACGCAGCGGAAACCGCAATAATGGAATGTAACGGAGCAAGGGGTGTCGGAATATCTCTAGGAGTCGCGAGGGGACAACGGAGCTGGCGACTTAAAACCGCGAGAATCTTCTGAGACGCGTCGGACGGACTCGCCTTTTGAGGCGCTTCAGGAATCCGACGGGCTCGGCGATCCCGAGAGTCGAACGTCTGACTGCAACGCGACGAAACGACGGTCAGCGCGTCTATCAGCAGCCAATCAGACACGAGTCAGTTGACGGCCGACGGTCGACCGGCCTGATTGTTTGATATGTACGACTGTTGAGCCGACCTTGGGATTTACGAGCCAAGCGTCGCGAGCCAACGGAGAGTGCGCGAGGAGACAGATGGAGTCGGCGAGGAGAGGCGTTCAGGCAACGGGGAGAGACTCTGGTCCGGACAGTCTAACGGGACATTTGACCTGCGCGTTCAGACGGCTAAGACAGTACGGACAAGATGTCGCAACGCCAGCGTCGCAGGTATTGGCAGCACAGGAGTCGTTGACAGATGGACTGGCGTGCAACTTATGCTGACAGCAGATACTTATGTCAGCTCACAACCCTGCTGAACGGCGTGAACCAATGCGCTGGACTATGAGTTTTCCTGATGCTCTGTCGATGAGACCACTTCAACAGTTTTAAGTGGTCGCCGTTTGAGACGTCTTAACTCTTGACTACTTCGGCAAAATATCAGCACCAGCTAAGAAGAAATCGGCACAGCTCGGCACAGTACGGTCCAGCTCAGCACCGTACTGACCGCTGGTGGTCCACGTGGACGGGTCGGTACATCCTCCTGCTCGCTCCGTCGACCTTAACATCTCCTCTCGACGCGCAGCGACATCGCGACCGGTCGCTTCCGAAAAATAGTGGATCCGTGAAGGCCGGATTCGCGGTTCGGGTGGGTGCATCTTCTGGTATTTCCTTCTCTGAACGAAAGCCGTTTCGAGCCTGTCAGATCTGAGGTCACTCGCAACGAGCCGTGCGATCTGTGCGAACAGTTGGGATCTGTGCGACCTGTGCGATCCGCGTCCGACGCGGTGACTGACATATCGCTAAGCGACTATTAGTCGCCACTGAGCTCATGATACGGCGACAGGATGAGCGACAGCAGGATGTGCGACAGCTCGACGACGGAAAACAGGCGGAGGCGAGGAAGAGCGGTATGACTTGCGATCCTGCAATAGACACCAGCAGTTGCAGCCAGACTGCTCTGCGACGCTCGTGGACAGCTGGACAACATTATGCGACAAGCGTGCTGCCAGCATAAGCGCGTGCAACAGGCACGAGTGTTCAACCTGGTTGACAGCCATGACTTGGCAAGCCATGACTAGAAAAGAGATTCACGAGAGAAGAAACAGGAGGAACTGACAGAAAGACAGGCAGGAGACCAAAATACCTGTTGGAGGCCAGAGGGATGCGAAACGGTTTCAAGTGGTGAGTGGAATTCAGGGTTCCAGAAGTGCTCAAGGTTGGCGGATAATGTCGGGGATAACATATGCTTCTTTGAGAGAGGATTAACTACACTAAAATAGGGGATATAAAGTCAAGTTCAAATTCTACGTGGATCCATTCCTCCTTCCCCATGTCATGGTTTGAACAACACATTCTCCTTCCTTCGCGGTATAATTTTTTCCTTGCACCTATCCATTATTTCCCATCTCATGGTTAGTACAACACATGGTCCTTCCTACACCAGCAATTTCCTATTCTATCAACTCGTTGTCAAAAACCACATTGACAAAGCTGAAGATTTATGCCAACACAAACAGTGCACTTTCAATCCCTTGCTGTGCCTTCGTGCCCACGAGCACTGTCAGCATCCAGCATCTCAAGGCATTTCTCCGTTGTTGACAGGCTAGCGCACCGCTCAAGTGCCATTCCGGTTGTAGGCAAGGGTGGTGCCATGCATTGCAAAGGTTGATGGTGCAAACCTGTACGCACACTCGATACAAAAAGTCAGAACACCCGAAGGAAAACGGCAGGCATGAGTTGAGCGCATGTGAAAATGAACAAAAACTAGACATGCCAAATGCAAGCTCAATCCAGGCCCAAAATCAAGAGCATTCTCACCCAATGCCTCCTCCGCCTCTGCATCCTCCATAAGGGCATCCAGATGATTTCCCATGTGTCCAGGCCGGTCTGCTTCCGTCTCGCCCAATCCAGCACCCATCACTGCAAACCCCTCCTCTTCCATCGCCCTCCCGCCTCTATCCATTTCCTTCTCGTCCCCCCTCGCCATTCCCCCCACCAAATCCCCGTAATACTGCAACTGGCCAACAATAGAATTCTCCTGATCCTGCACATTGCGGCCGCTCGGCACGTGATAGCTGTGGTTAGGGTCTTCAAAGCCACTGCTTGGCTGCCCGAAACCACGAGTAGGCTCCTCATAGCCCCGATCGCCAGGGAGCAGGGCCATAGCAACAGCCGTCTGCCAGCTCCCTTCGAAACCCTCCTTCAAGTCCACGTTCGCAGCGCCACTTATACTTGCCTCTGCTGCTCCTCCCTCTGCTACCTTCTGTGCCTGCTCCTGTGTCCCTCCCATACGTCCTCCCAACTCACCCACCGATTTCTGCACCAAATTGGGCCTGAAACCCTCCTGCGCACCTCCATTCCTACCAGCACCAACGCCATCACCACCAGCAGCAGGAGCAGGGGCGGTGGCAGCCGCGGCAGCAGCAGCAGCAGAGGCAGTGGCAGCAGTAGCAGCAGCAGCAGCAGCAGCAGCGGTATCAGTGGCAGTTGCGGACCCACCAGCAGCAGACGACCCATCAATCTCAGGTGGAAGAGTTGGGGTCCTAGGCAGGGAAGGCACGGAAAGCAGCCTGAGAGGGCGGGGCGTGTGCCTCTCGGAGGAGGGTTTCTGGGGGTCCATCGGCAGTGGGCCCTGGGTAGGAAGCAGGACGCTTTCTATCTGCTGCTCATTTCCCGGCATGATACTCCCCTGAAAGCGATCTATGGAGTGGGTGTGAGGGAGTGAGTGCGAGAGAAGGAGGGACTGTGGGGAAGGGAGGGAGTGGGGCTGAGGACGCAGGTCTGGTCTGTGCTGGAGGAAACCGAAGGAGGAGGTGGTGGGGGGAGGTGGGAACTGGGGTAGGATGTCCTGTGTTATGCTAGAGACAGTAGGAAGAGCAGAGAGAGGGGCTCGCGAAAGGGTGATAGGTACGGTGGCAGGGAGTGTGTTTCGAGGGGTGATGGGGACGGAAGAGAGAGGGACAGGGTGCGTGGAGAGGGCGAGGACGGGTGCGGGAGTGGTGGGGGCAGCGAGGATGGATGGGCTGGCGACGGTGGGAGGGGCGGCGAGCACTGCTGGTGGCGCTTTCTGCTCCTTCAGCATCTGGTCGATCAAGCGGTCGCACAGATAAGTCAATGAATAAAAAAGGGATCAGATGAGATGGATAGTGTATATTATGAAAAGGATAGTGCTAGTAAAAAAAAAACAAAAAAACAAAACAAAACAAAAAAGGAAGGAAAACGGTAGGTGGAGGGGAGAGGGAGAGACGAAGTTGATGGGCTGATACCAAGAGTGCCGGCTTCCAAAGAAACCACCAGTCTCACCAGATGGCCAAACTCGGAGCGCAGAAAGCTGATCGTGTCTCCTGCTGTGAGGCCGTACTTGCGAATATAGTCGCCTGCGCATGGCAACAGCAATACCGTGCATAGTAAGACTTGTGCGTGTTGCCCGGCAAAAATCTTTCACACATGTAAACAGCAACAAGTCCCAGCATCCGATCTCACCTGCATGCTCCAGCACATACATCCTGCTCCGGTTGTTGGGCCAAAACCTGCAGTGACAGACGCACAGAGGAACGGAGGCACTGAGTCAGGCCCAAACATCAAACCTGTAGCACCAGTTCCCCCCACAACCTCATCCGTGCTCTCCAGACGTGAGAAGAACCAAGGAGGCATCTCAGTCAGTACCATGAAGAGCACACACACTGGTATCGGAAGTACCACTGGCCGCCGATAGAGTCTTCAACAATGATGAGAATGCCCTCCTTGCTCTCCACGTGCGGCAGGAATAAAAGAGACCCCCACCAAGAACACTAATACCACACATACCAGCACCAGAAACACCATCACCATTGGAAGCACCACTGAGAACACATACCGGTATCGGAAGAACCACTGGCCGCCGATAGAGTCCTCCACGATGATGAGAATGCCCTCCTTGCTCTCCACGTGCGGCAGGGGACACTGAGACCTCTACCAATAATACTACCACTACGCATACCAGTAACAGAAACACAATCAGAATCGGGAAAACACACCTGTAGCACCACTGAGCACACACACCTGTATCTGAAGCACCACTGGCCGCCAATAGAGTCCTCCACGATTATAAGGATTCCCTCCTTGCTCTCCACGTGTGGCAGGAATCGCTCTGCCGGCACCTTGGGAAGCACGACCCTGCCCAGATGGCTAGTATCGCTCGCTGTAAGCAGCTTCTCAAACAGGACACCAATCGACTTGCTCTGAGGGTGGGGCAATGGGGTGGGGATGGCAATGGGAGGGGATCAGAAGGTAGAGGCGTCTCAGTAACATGCCGGCACCTTGGGCAGCACGATCCTCCCCAGGTGGCTCGTGTCGTTCATCGTCATCAGCAGAAATGAGGCAAACTTAAAAATGGATTTATAACCCTCATTTCCTGGGAGCCAGTTCCGAATTACCTTGGAAAACCATAACCCTTACTACCTTAGAGCCATAGCCACGGAAGCCAGTGCCTGTGGATGGAGAGAGATCCTGATTGGACACGCCTTGCAGCTGCTTTGGCGTGCTGCCAGCAGAGCCACCCGACTTGGAATCCACGTCAGCACCGCCATCCACGTCAGCAGGTCCTGCCACGTCACCGGTGGCCTCCATGCTGGAGATCCTGCGTGGCAGTGCCAGTGCCGTGCCCCTGCTGCCGCCACTGCCTCCGCTGCCCTCTCCTTCAGACCGGGTGAGAGACCCCCTGCGAGTTAATGGCTCCAGACACAAGGCCCTCACTTCCCTGCATGTCAGGCGCATAGGCAGCCCACAACAAAATCATAACACAAGCACAACACGATAAGCCACCAGAGGTGTTTCTGTCAAATCTATACACCAGCATGACAGCATCGCATCCATGGATGTGGAGAGAAAAGGGGATCCGAGAAAGGCGCCCTGCAAAAAAAGAGCTGGCTTTACAAGCAGAATTGGTGGCGGAGGAATGAACTTCCACAAGACACAGCAAGAGGTAGCTACTGAGCATAAAATAGCTTGCGATGCAGCCCCAGTAGACATACCAGGCACAGCAAGCATTTCCGAAGTTTCTATGCATACCAGGATAGGTAAGCAGCCATACCTGCCTTCTGACTCGGTCAGTGAAGCCTGTGGTCGCAGCCTGCTGCCACCGATAACGCCACCGCCGCTGCTGCTGCCACTCACATTCCCATGCACCGCCACCTGCCCTGGACTCATCTGCTGCCCCGCACCCACCGCCCCCTGCTCGTGCCCCATCCCTCCAACCCCTTCTCCACCCACACTCAATCCCCCAGACGTGCCCTGAACTCTCATCCTCTGCTGCCCCATCCGCCCACTCCCCCTTGGGGACCCCAGAGATCCCCCATGCGCGGGGGCCCTTCCCCCTGTGTGCCGCCCTCTACCAGGGATATGCGCCCCTAGGTGGTGGGCGCGCAGGGCGAGCCTCCTCTTGCTGCGGTTGCTTGCGGCCACACTGGGGGAGAGCTTGGCCAGGGAAGGGGCAGTGGGGCTGGCGGAAGGAAAGCCCCCAGAGAGGGGGGAATGCGCTGGGAAGGGGAAGGAGCCAGGGGTTCTGGAAGAGGGGGAGGACGCGCCCATGGGCGCGTATGCGCCTATGGGGGAGTGTGCGCCGAAGGGGGGAGGGCTGGGGGGGATGGAGATGGAGAGGCGTTGGAATTCGGCCAGGCGGGGGGAGGGGAGGTGGGAGAAGCAAGGGGAGGAGAACGGAGAAGGCTGGCCGGGTGAGAAGAGGGGGGAGGGCAGGTGAGGGGAAGAGAGAGGGGAAGAGAATTGGGAGGAGAGATGGGGAGAGGAGGCGAGTCGAGGCGATGAGACACGGAAAGGGTCGCCCCCGAGGGCTCTCCCTGACTGCTGAAGCTGCTTCCTCGCCCAAGGGGGCAGCCGCGACGACCGCTGCAATCCACCATCTCCCCCCTCCCCCTCTGCTGCTCCTCCACTCCCCTTCCCCTCACCGCCCCCCTCCACTCCACCCTGTGTCCCCCCACCAACCCCTCCTGCATCACCCCCCTGTGCCCCATCCGCACCAACGCCCAACACCCCACCCTCTCCCTCAGTAGTTTTACCATCACCACCCGCACCTCCCATGCCTTGCTCTACCTGACGCTTCTGTTGCTGCTGCTGCTGCTCGAGACCCCCCTCTTGATGCTGCTGTGCCTGAGACCCACCAGCCAGAGCTTCACCAGAATCCATTCTGGCAATTCCCCCCAGCCTGCCTGCCGCTCGGAGATCCCTCTGCAGACTGGCAGACCAGAGCATGGCGTCAGTCAGGCCCGCACTGCCCGCACTGGACGCACCACCACCACCACCACCACCCAACGGGGCGGCATCGAAGGCTAGACCTCTCTCAGGCCAGCCGGGTAGACCCCTCTCCTCCGGCGCAGTGAGCAGGCTCTGGAACGAGGTACCGGCCGGCTGCTGCAGGTACGCTCTGTCTGACATGCTGATGTGGCCAGACGGCATGATGACGTGGCCTGACAGTGTGCGGGTAAGCGTCGAATGATCCAGGCTATGGTGGTACTGCAAGAATCTGCTCATGCCAGAGCCGCTTGCAATCCCTTCCACGCCAGCCTCCCCTTGACCCATGAGCATACTTCCTTCATCCATAGCTAGCCTATGAGACAGCCCCCCAGATGATGCTCCCACCATACCGGGAAAGTCATCAGCCCGTGCTATCCCCTTCCCCTGTGCCCTTCCGGAAAGCTGCTGGTAGTTGAGAGATTCTAATCCTTGCATCATTGTAGCTCCAGTTCCTCCTGACCCCATACCCATCCCCATTGCGGACAGGCGAGATGAGTAATCAAGTGCTGATGCCCCATATCCAGCAGTTCTGTGCCCCAAGGAGGACCATGGAAACTGATTGGAATCGCCAAGGGAAGGCCGAGGGTCTTCTCCCATTGCAGCCTGCATCGCTTGCATCATGCTGCCGCCTTGCTGCTGCCCCCCTGCTGCAGCCACCTCTGCATCAAATTCACTCAGCGCACTGAACCCCCTCCCTCCAGGATCCAATGCTGACGGCCCGCCTTCCAGCATCCCTGTGTAGGTCAATCCTGATGAAACCCCTGATGTTACTCCTGGTGCCAATCCATGGGAGTAGCCAGGCATGTGTGCTGCTGCACTGCCGCTCTCTGAACGGAAAGGACCCAGTGCTGGGAGAGGTTGTGAGGAGTGCAGAGCGGTGAAGCGGTCGTTAAATCCCGCTGCAGGGGGTGTTGTGTGCCATCGGATGTCCCACAGGTGCCTCCCATGTTGAGCAGGGTTAATGTCCTGAGGAGAAAAGTAACATAAAATCAGAGATTAAGTTTCTAGAATCTATCAACCACCACCTTCCGTTGCAACAAAAAGGGCCAAGAAGATCGACCAATGTAGCCTCTATAACACGAGATATGGGTACAACACACCAAAGGAGGAACATATCGCCCTAGAACAATATGTATAACGCATTCGATATATTCTCAAGCTTAACTTACTGTTTTTGGCCTGTTGGTAGTAAGCCACTTCTTGAGAAACCGCATGTCGGATCCCAAATCCAAGCACAATTCATGCGCTGATCCCGACGTCTCTATGCCCTCCAGCCGCCACTGAATGGCTTCTCCGTACACTCTCATACGTTCCTGGACGAACAAAACGACACAGAAAAAAGGGTGGTGAGGCAGTGAGAGGTGAATCACTGGGATGAGATGCATGAGGAGATGCATTGGAGACATGGAGAACATCGAACAGATTATTTTAAGGATGGAATACATGATGTGAGCAGTTGCATACCTCTTCGCTGGGTAACAACCTCTTCCTCCTCCCGGCCTGCCGCCTTGTAACCTCCGCTGGTTCTTCTGCTAGTGTGCTGCTTCTGTCAGCTATGTGCCATTGTTTGAAAAAAAAAAAAAATGCAGACAAATGTCACTCATACTATATTAAGCATGATACAGCCAATCAGCCGTGCTTCATGTAGCCAATCAGTCACGCATAACCAAGTCATCAATTCATGCATACTAATCTAGAGAATAGTCACGCATCAATCAGTCGATGTATCTCCTCCTCAGATGTAAGTCAGTCATGATTTTTTCACATAGCAAACATTCATGCATTATCCACATAAATTATTACCTGAGGGTGGGGAAAGCACACGGTGGCGTGGACCTCTTGGAGGGCTGCTGAGGGGGTCAACAAACAGCCTTCTCCGCACGTTCAAATTATCTGCTCCCGATATTGTCACCTCTTGCAGCCCCGATAAATCCACACCCCCCAGGCTTTCCGAGGCTGCAGGAGCGGATCCATCATTGAGACCCCTACTGCCATCGGCTGGGGGTGTCACAGAAGGCTGTGCAACCGGGACCGCTTCTCTCCCTTGAGTGTCTGCGCTGTCATTTTGATTCCGGAAAGGCGGATTCTGTACATCTGCTGCCTGGATAAGCGCCAAGAACGAGGATGGTTCCGGGATGGCATTGGTTTGTCCTGTGGATCCGGATCTGTCATCCGTTGCAAATAATGGCACATTTCGTGGAGAGGGAGAGCTGGGATTTCGTGGAATGTCACTTCTAGCGCAACTGAATGGCATCTCAAGTTTATGCAGCTCAGGAGTGGTCAAGCCAAGCGCTTTAGCGCCATGGTCAGACTCATCAGTAAGAGGCGATGGAAGAGTACAGATAACGGTGTCATTGTTAACACGAGCAGCCTGCAAGCAAACGCAAAGCCAGTATACTTTAGTATGCATGAATTTATCCCATATTTTAGACCCCTAATGAATGCAAAAAGTTGATAGAACTACCTCGTTCACGCCATCCTTGGAACCTCCAGAAGAATCTGGCATGTATTCCCTCAGGGGTCCACCAGAATTAGCATCGGTTGCCATCCTGCAAACAACCACACGCAAAATATTAGTTGATACTAAAAACAAAATATCCCGTAACGTAAAATATATACTCTTAATCTGCATTTCAATCTGGAAACTCGTAATCCAACGGTGAAACGTGCGGTTCTGCAGGTAAGAACGGTCATGAATCTAAACATTCGTGCAATCTAGAATAAGACAACATGGATAAGCCGAAGAAAAGAGGCGACTGAGCTAAATATAATCTTAAATGTATCGTTCCCATGATCGGTGCTAGCTTTAGTAAGTGTTAGCTCTGATACCTGCCATGCACGTTCACCTGAAGCCAGCTTTAGCTCCGAACGATGTTCAAAGACGTGGCTGGGAGAACAAACGCGAAGCTGACTCGAAAGGCGTGCATGGATGCACGAGCAGCTGCAAGGAACCCACAATGCAAGGGTTTCTAGGAGATTGCAGGACAGGAGGAATTTGGAGATGTAGAATAGAGGAGGATGAGGGAGGGAAAGCTTGTAAGCTCAGAAATTGGATTTCCTGGATTTGAAAGGCAGGAGATTATGGATCACCATCTGAAGCAGGAGGTGGCGTGCATTGAGCAGATGAGGTTTCCAACCTTGACATGCTCGCACTCCTCGAACCGCGAAGAAATCCTGGCCGTTCACGGTTCAATGCAATGCGCGATGGCCAATGTACATGGATTTTGGATGACGCGATAAAAACTGAAGAGTCTACACTTGTGCCCCTGAGCATCCAACATACTTATGCACCTCGCCAGCATACAAGATGAGTTACTAAAACGCATGGAAGTGTGGATATGTGATACTGCCCTTACCGTACATGTACGGTACTATCGTGCAATAGATGTTGGATGCCTGGAATATCAAGGGCATCCGTCCAAGGACCATCAGCGGCTGTTTTCGATAATTAGATGCATATAGCATTCCGAACTATAAGATCCCAAATCCGATACAGTAATATGAATTTAAACCTCCCCTCCGTCATAGCAGAATGTTCACTGCCAGGGTACACAGCGGAGGCTGTTATATATGACAGAATGGAGCTAGCATTGAAGCTCCAGAACCGTTACAGCCAAATCGTCATGTAATTGACGACGGTAATCGCCTGCTCGTATTTGAAGGAGCTGTTCAATCGTCATACCTGCAAAAACACGACACATTTGCCAGTCAGACAGGTGACGCATAACCACCACAACAACCCAACCCACTCATGCACGGAGGCAACAAAGCATGGACAAGCTCCAAACACCCACCTGCTCTTCTTGCAGCTCGATCAAGCGCCTCTTGCACAAGCGCATGCGAAAGATTTGGCCCACAAGCGCCCTTATACGAGCTCCCACAACCACCCTCGGCACCAGTGCTACCAGCGCCAGAAGCTTCAGCCGAAGTAGCCAGTGCACGCGACACAGAGGCAGCAGCGTCGGCAGGAGTCATGTGTTGGTAAAGGCCATCGGAGGAGAGGACGAGGTAGCGATGGGAGGGGGAGAGAGTGAGGTGGTGGAGGTGTGGAGACGAGGAGAGGTAGGGCTGAGACCCCACGTACTGCACTCGCAGCATGCCGAGGAGCATCGCGTTGACTCGAGGCTGGTGGACGGAAGGGGAGGGAAGGCGAGAGGAGAGGTGAGCCGAAACAGACACAGGTATCGAGAACAGCTGCTCAGATTGAAGCACTTGCATGTGTGCGATAGACAATGGGGAAGCACAAGGCGAGAATGGGGAGAGCGTGAGGACCGGGGTGGACTAATGCAAAGATTGAGCGTACATTCTTGAGGTAGGCGGCACCAAACGCCCTGGTGGCCTTGAGCTTGCCCTTGACTCGCATCTTTGTGATGGCGTCCGGATCGTCCGCCCTCTCCCTCCTCAACCTCTCCACCTCCTGGAACCAACACCAGCGACATACATACACAAAACAGTGCAATGGACGAAATGTCAGTATGAGATACAGATAGTAGGGAGAACAGCCACGGAAATAATAATAATAGCAACCAAATAATCTGGATGAGCCAGTGCCAGCATTACTCTCACCTTCTCGTTGCTCGTGTTATGGTCCTCCGTCAGCTGAGTCGCCCGCAACTCCGCCAGCTTCTTCCGCCCTTCCCCCTCCGCTTCCGCCCCCTCTCCCATCTCTCCCCCGTCCCTCCCCTCCCCAGCCTGCCCCGCCTGCCCGTCCTCCGCGACGACCACGGCGCGGCAGTCCCCGAGGTTCATAACGTACAGCTCGCGCCCGGCCACCACGGCCACCACGCGCCCGCCACGGCCAGCTCCAGCCGCTCTACCATTCGCTCCTCTAACGACTCGAAATACGCCGCTTCGGTTTCGCTCAGCGCTGCCGCTAGTGCTTGCAGGACCATATCGTGCCGCCGCGACGCGTCCGCGAGCTTGCCGTGATTACCTCCTTTCGCGCTTTCCGCCGCGGCATGAGAGGTATTTGAGTTTGCCTCTCCAAAATCCAACCCGCAGGCGACTAATTGCTGGGCGAAGCGCGCGTGCAGATTAGCGACAAGAAAATCGGCTGCTGACGTGTCGGTGAACCCGTCATACACGGCGGAAAACACGTAGCCGTTACCCGAGGCCACCACCTGCATGCGATCCTCCCCCGCCACCCCCTCCGCCCATTCCGCTCCCTCCGCGGACGCGCACGTCGCTCCGCCGTTCCCCCGCCCCGCAGCGTCGCTATTTAAAGACCAGGAAACGACTATCCCTTCCTCCGCCTCTAGTCCTAACAGCTCCGGTTCGCCACCGTCGCATTCCGCTGCCTCCCCCTCGCGCGCCCCTTTCGCAACCGCCGCTTCTGCCGGGCCTTCCGACGGCCTTTGCAGATTTCCTGGAGCAGGAGGACCACAGGATTGGGCAAGGCTCATGGAAATAAATTCCTCCCCTCCCGCGGGACCCAACGGTCCTGTGAGGCTTATCGAATTCATCGACCCTGGAGAGTTTCTCAGAAAATTCTTCCGACTCGACGGCAGTAGCCGACTCGACGACAGAGACGACAGGCGAATCTTGTCGCCAATCGTCCCCCAGCCCGTTCGCGGGTGATGCTCGCGATGGCTGCGACTGCTCCGCGTGATCCGCCACTTTCCTCGCGAGGACTCGCCTGGCGACCTCGCTGCTATCTCCTCCTCTTCAGTCACAGCCGCCGTGCCAGTCCAAGACACCTCTCGCACGGGTTCCTTGTGGCTACGGCTCAGCATGATCCCAGTCTGTCCCGCATCCACGGATTGAACGGCGTTTTGCACGGCGCTTAGCACCGCGCTTCGCTCCGCACTCTGCGTCGCGCATTGCGGCACCTCAAAAATAGCCGACAAGTCGCTCCCCTCGTCCGGTCCGTGCGCTGAACCTCCAGCGCCTTCATCGAACCGCCTGTCCTTATTTCTCAACCACCCGTTCAAATTCGGCATCGACATGCTAAAATTAATCCGTTTCAGCAGGTTCTCCGATCCCCCGTGGTGTCGCTTGACGGAAAGCGACTGCGATCCGCGTTCCGCCGTTCCGCCACAGGGGGAGGAGGCCCCGGACGATCCGGAGGAGGAGCATGAGCCAAGCGCGGAAAGGGGGAGGTTGGGGGGAAAACTGCGGAAGGATTGCGTGCTGAGGAACAACTTGTGTGTTATTCCGCCACTCAGCGTGGAATGCGGGCTCAGCGCATTCGCCTCGATCCCCGCGCCGGTTACCGCCACTACCGCCGTTCCGCGGAGAGCGGAGGGAATGGCGATAAGTAAGCTGGCGTCAACCGGCGATGGAAGACAAGGGTTTGGTTGGAGAAAATGCTGCTGATTGGCCAGTTCCGCCGAGTCTGTAACCGTTGCTGCAGCATTAATCGCCGACGTCACTATGGAAGACCGAGCGGCTTGAGAAGTTAAGAACGAATTGTGTGTGGGAAGCGAGAGATCGAACGGACTAACCGACTGAAGATGCGCAACTCCTTCCGCTCTAAACGGCTCTGAGGGAGTTGTTGCTGTACTGTGAAGCGAGGACGCTACAAACGCGGACGCACCGGGGTCAGCGGGGACAGGCGTGGAATGTGCTATGGAGAGGAGAGGGAAGAGACAGTGGGAGCTTTCCACGTCAGCAGTCATCTCTGAGAAATGAGCGTGTTGTAAAAAGCAACAAATTAATCATGCAAGTTGATGAAACGGGGAGGATCTTAACTAGGCCTCTAGTTTAAGACCTCAATAACCCGTCACCTTGACCACCCAGGAAGCTTTTCCGGCTGATCTTTTGCGTGCTAACAGGGATTGACTCTGCGACAACAGAAATATAGTTGTTCCGCGCGAGCAAAACATAGGCTCAGCGCAAAGACAGATTATGCGTTATGGATGCACACACACCACAGAACCACTTGACTCCGCTTCTCCCTCCTCGGTTGCTGCTTCCCTGCTCGCTTGACAGCAGTAACAGCAGTGGTGTGATCTGTATCCGAACATTAAACCTTATCAAGGGGAGACCGTACCACTCCCCCCCCCCCACCCTCCGCACAATGCTGCTATTGATTGATAACACACAAGAACCTTGGGACAGAAATGGGACACGACGGGAGAAAGGGGACCTTGGGAACATGGTTCGGGGGAAGGCTTTTTGCTCCAAGATTTGAAAATCTGAACCACGGTTTGCAGGGATTGCAGTGCTCATGGGCCCGCGGGAGGCGAGAAAGGGAACCAGGCGGAGAAGGGAAGAAACGGGAGCCACGCGCTGAGCTGTCTCCGGAACACGCGGAGAGTGGCCTGCAGCGAGTCTCGGATAAAGTAGGGCAAGGTGGATTGGTTGAGAAGCTCGGGAAGTGGGGACCACACGTGGCAGGGGGGCAGCGGTGTCCGCCTGGTTATCGGAAAACAGTCCGCGCGTGATCACGTCAGGAAGTCGAGCAGCGGAGGATGTGGCCTGGTTGGCGAGGCGACTGAATCAACAAAACTCCCACGCGCGGGCGGCAGGGATATTCACCTTGGAAGCTTCCAGCCATAGTGAAAATCTCGAGCCAAATTGTTCGGGCAGAACTACATGACGGCTTTTGTCCCTGTGAGAACTCACCCTGAGTCATAACATAAGAATTGTAGGTGTGCTGAGGCATTGAAGCCCAGTAGTGTTTGCAGACAGGGAAATTTACATAAGTGAACAGAAGTGTCCAGCGAAGCAGACCAACGGCAAAGTTGTTCAAATTGCTGCTCAGCTCTTCCTTCACCACAAGCTTTGATTTGCATGCCACGGCTTACAACCACCTTCCGCCGCAGAAAACTTGCAGCCAATAGTTTTCATGCTGACGACTTCAACCACCTCCCTTTTACAGACACATGGGGCGGTTTCCTTATAATTTGCAAGTTATTGGCCACAAATATATCGAATCCAACCAATAACGGCAGTCCGGCTGGCATTATTTCCAGCTAGGACTGCAAGCCACAGCAGCCTGACACTGGTTCCCAGAGGAAACAAGATATCGGTACAATGCAACTCTATTTACCATAGGAGTTACATCTGTACATCGACTCTCTGTTAGAAAGACCACGATTGGCCTGGTTGATGTTGTATAAAGCAGAGTCTAGAGAAACAGACGACAGGGTACCTCTTTTGCTCTTTGAATATAAAGGCCTTTATAAGAAAACTCACTGTTTTCAAACCCACGAGTCATGTTTTCAAAATGGAGGATTGCTTTGCACCCCCATACAAGCGCATGTGCCTATCGCAGGCCTGCGTTTTATACACAGGGTACTACAGTACATTCATTTTAAGAGGTAGATTCAATCTGAACAGTGAGGTCCCTGACACCAATGTCATTGAAAATGGAATGGACGTGCTCTAGAACCTTCTGCTCATCCACGCTTTCTCTAACCTGCAAAACAACCAACATGTATAATTTATTGATATGCAAATTGTCTTCGCCTGTTGAATGCTTGTTGAAACATGACATTCCCAACCCAGCAGCTTGAAACAACAAAACATGTGGCATGCGGAACGAAAAGAGCTGTGTACTTACCCGAACAGTGAGTGTCCCCACCACATGTCCAGGGACCACTGCCCAAAAGCGATGCTCTATGCATTCTTCTACCCCCTCATATGCTGCCACCTGCCAGGTGCACGCACAGACACAAACCGCAAAACACATGGAACCATACAACAGGCACACATGGTACCGCTCGCATGTTCAGTGCGAGGACCAAAAAGCCATCCATGCATGCATCTAATGACAGACGTGCACCTATTGACAGACCTGACATACAAATTATGAATCAAAGGTAACACACAGTATGGGAGAATCACAGAGACCAACAGACTGAATCCAGATGAAAACAAAGGAGATGAAAGACCCACATGGCGAATGCATTTGTGCAGCGCGGGTTCGGAGATGCCTGCAGGAGCCATCTGCAGCAGGAGATTCCCGGACGATTGCACCAATGGGAGCGCGAGCACGAGCACTGTGAGGGAGACGAGGCCCAGGCAGATGGCCTCTGCACTGTACACCCTGCGAATGGAAGCAGGCATGGTTGGGTAGGTTATAGGTGGGGGGATTGGGGGAAGAGGCGAAACTTTAGTTTCCTCAAGAAACATCCCAGGCAGATGGCATCTGCACTGCTCACCCTGGGGATGGAGGTGATAACGATTGTGTAGGGATAACACGGGGGGGTGAGGGGGAGTGGGGGGGAGAGAAAGTGTTAGCACTGCGAGGGAGACGAGCCCCAGGCAGATGACCTCTGCAATGTACACCCTCGGAAATTTGGTACGCCGAAATGGAACGGAATGGGCGAGAAAAACGAGGAAGAATGGAGTGAAATATGGAGACTTCCTGTAATATGTGGCATGTGCAATATAAATCAGTGTGCATCAGTTAATAGAGACTTGAGAAGAACTTGATCAGCATGAACCATGAGGCGAGGACAACCCCACCAGTGCACACCAGTGCACACCCCTTTACCATCTATGCTCCCCTGCTTGCAGCTTACCCGATGGCAAGGAACCATGAGGCGAGGACAACCCCACCAGTGCACACCAGTGCACACCCCTTTACCATCTATGCTCCCCTGCTTGCAGCTTACCCGATGGCAAGGAACCATGAGGCGAGGACAACCCCACCAGTGCACACCAGTGCACACCCCTTTACCATCTATGCTCCCCTGCTTGCAGCTTACCCGATGGCAAGGAACCATGAGGCGAGGACAACCCCACCAGTGCACACCAGTGCACACCCCTTTACCATCTATGCTCCCCTGCTTGCAGCTTACCCGATGGCAAGGAACCATGAGGCGAGGACAACCCCACCAGTGCACACCAGTGCACACCCCTTTACCATCTATGCTCCCCTGCTTGCAGCTTACCCGATGGCAAGGAACCATGAGGCGAGGACAACCCCACCAGTGCACACCAGTGCACACCCCTTTACCATCTATGCTCCCCTGCTTGCAGCTTACCCGATGGCAAGGAACCATGAGGCGAGGACAACCCCACCAGTGCACACCAGTGCACACCCCTTTACCATCTATGCTCCCCTGCTTGCAGCTTACCCGATGGCAAGGAACCATGAGGCGAGGACAACCCCACCAGTGCACACCAGTGCACACCCCTTTACCATCTATGCTCCCCTGCTTGCAGCTTACCCGATGGCAAGGAACCATGAGGCGAGGACAACCCCACCAGTGCACACCAGTGCACACCCCTTTACCATCTATGCTCCCCTGCTTGCAGCTTACCCGATGGCAAGGAACCATGAGGCGAGGACAACCCCACCAGTGCACACCAGTGCACACCCCTTTACCATCTATGCTCCCCTGCTTGCAGCTTACCCGATGGCAAGGAACCATGAGGCGAGGACAACCCCACCAGTGCACACCAGTGCACACCCCTTTACCATCTATGCTCCCCTGCTTGCAGCTTACCCGATGGCAAGGAACCATGAGGCGAGGACAACCCCACCAGTGCACACCAGTGCACACCCCTTTACCATCTATGCTCCCCTGCTTGCAGCTTACCCGATGGCAAGGAACCATGAGGCGAGGACAACCCCACCAGTGCACACCAGTGCACACCCCTTTACCATCTATGCTCCCCTGCTTGCAGCTTACCCGATGGCAAGGAACCATGAGGCGAGGACAACCCCACCAGTGCACACCAGTGCACACCCCTTTACCATCTATGCTCCCCTGCTTGCAGCTTACCCGATGGCAAGGAACCATGAGGCGAGGACAACCCCACCAGTGCACACCAGTGCACACCCCTTTACCATCTATGCTCCCCTGCTTGCAGCTTACCCGATGGCAAGGAACCATGAGGCGAGGACAACCCCACCAGTGCACACCAGTGCACACCCCTTTACCATCTATGCTCCCCTGCTTGCAGCTTACCCGATGGCAAGGAACCATGAGGCGAGGACAACCCCACCAGTGCACACCAGTGCACACCCCTTTACCATCTATGCTCCCCTGCTTGCAGCTTACCCGATGGCAAGGAACCATGAGGCGAGGACAACCCCACCAGTGCACACCAGTGCACACCCCTTTACCATCTATGCTCCCCTGCTTGCAGCTTACCCGATGGCAAGGAACCATGAGGCGAGGACAACCCCACCAGTGCACACCAGTGCACACCCCTTTACCATCTATGCTCCCCTGCTTGCAGCTTACCCGATGGCAAGGAACCATGAGGCGAGGACAACCCCACCAGTGCACACCAGTGCACACCCCTTTACCATCTATGCTCCCCTGCTTGCAGCTTACCCGATGGCAAGGAACCATGAGGCGAGGACAACCCCACCAGTGCACACCAGTGCACACCCCTTTACCATCTATGCTCCCCTGCTTGCAGCTTACCCGATGGCAAGGAACCATGAGGCGAGGACAACCCCACCAGTGCACACCAGTGCACACCCCTTTACCATCTATGCTCCCCTGCTTGCAGCTTACCCGATGGCAAGGAACCATGAGGCGAGGACAACCCCACCAGTGCACACCAGTGCACACCCCTTTACCATCTATGCTCCCCTGCTTGCAGCTTACCCGATGGCAAGGAACCATGAGGCGAGGACAACCCCACCAGTGCACACCAGTGCACACCCCTTTACCATCTATGCTCCCCTGCTTGCAGCTTACCCGATGGCAAGGAACCATGAGGCGAGGACAACCCCACCAGTGCACACCAGTGCACACCCCTTTACCATCTATGCTCCCCTGCTTGCAGCTTACCCGATGGCAATGAACCATGAGGCGAGGACAACCCCACCAGTGCACACCAGTGCACACCCCTTTACCATCTATGCTCCCCTGCTTGCAGCTTACCCGATGGCAAGGAACCATGAGGCGAGGACAACCCCACCAGTGCACACCAGTGCACACCCCTTTACCATCTATGCTCCCCTGCTTGCAGCTTACCCGATGGCAAGGAACCATGAGGCGAGGACAACCCCACCAGTGCACACCAGTGCACACCCCTTTACCATCTATGCTCCCCTGCTTGCAGCTTACCCGATGGCAAGGAACCATGAGGCGAGGACAACCCCACCAGTGCACACCAGTGCACACCCCTTTACCATCTATGCTCCCCTGCTTGCAGCTTACCCGATGGCAAGGAACCATGAGGCGAGGACAACCCCACCAGTGCACACCAGTGCACACCCCTTTACCATCTATGCTCCCCTGCTTGCAGCTTACCCGATGGCAATGAACCATGAGGCGAGGACAACCCCACCAGTGCACACCAGTGCACACCCCTTTACCATCTATGCTCCCCTGCTTGCAGCTTACCCGATGGCAAGGAACCATGAGGCGAGGACAACCCCACCAGTGCACACCAGTGCACACCCCTTTACCATCTATGCTCCCCTGCTTGCAGCTTACCCGATGGCAAGGAACCATGAGGCGAGGACAACCCCACCAGTGCACACCAGTGCACACCCCTTTACCATCTATGCTCCCCTGCTTGCAGCTTACCCGATGGCAAGGAACCATGAGGCGAGGACAACCCCACCAGTGCACACCAGTGCACACCCCTTTACCATCTATGCTCCCCTGCTTGCAGCTTACCCGATGGCAAGGAACCATGAGGCGAGGACAACCCCACCAGTGCACACCAGTGCACACCCCTTTACCATCTATGCTCCCCTGCTTGCAGCTTACCCGATGGCAAGGAACCATGAGGCGAGGACAACCCCACCAGTGCACACCAGTGCACACCCCTTTACCATCTATGCTCCCCTGCTTGCAGCTTACCCGATGGCAAGGAACCATGAGGCGAGGACAACCCCACCAGTGCACACCAGTGCACACCCCTTTACCATCTATGCTCCCCTGCTTGCAGCTTACCCGATGGCAAGGAACCATGAGGCGAGGACAACCCCACCAGTGCACACCAGTGCACACCCCTTTACCATCTATGCTCCCCTGCTTGCAGCTTACCCGATGGCAAGGAACCATGAGGCGAGGACAACCCCACCAGTGCACACCAGTGCACACCCCTTTACCATCTATGCTCCCCTGCTTGCAGCTTACCCGATGGCAAGGAACCATGAGGCGAGGACAACCCCACCAGTGCACACCAGTGCACACCCCTTTACCATCTATGCTCCCCTGCTTGCAGCTTACCCGATGGCAAGGAACCATGAGGCGAGGACAACCCCACCAGTGCACACCAGTGCACACCCCTTTACCATCTATGCTCCCCTGCTTGCAGCTTACCCGATGGCAAGGAACCATGAGGCGAGGACAACCCCACCAGTGCACACCAGTGCACACCCCTTTACCATCTATGCTCCCCTGCTTGCAGCTTACCCGATGGCAAGGAACCATGAGGCGAGGACAACCCCACCAGTGCACACCAGTGCACACCCCTTTACCATCTATGCTCCCCTGCTTGCAGCTTACCCGATGGCAAGGAACCATGAGGCGAGGACAACCCCACCAGTGCACACCAGTGCACACCCCTTTACCATCTATGCTCCCCTGCTTGCAGCTTACCCGATGGCAAGGAACCATGAGGCGAGGACAACCCCACCAGTGCACACCAGTGCACACCCCTTTACCATCTATGCTCCCCTGCTTGCAGCTTACCCGATGGCAAGGAACCATGAGGCGAGGACAACCCCACCAGTGCACACCAGTGCACACCCCTTTACCATCTATGCTCCCCTGCTTGCAGCTTACCCGATGGCAAGGAACCATGAGGCGAGGACAACCCCACCAGTGCACACCAGTGCACACCCCTTTACCATCTATGCTCCCCTGCTTGCAGCTTACCCGATGGCAAGGAACCATGAGGCGAGGACAACCCCACCAGTGCACACCAGTGCACACCCCTTTACCATCTATGCTCCCCTGCTTGCAGCTTACCCGATGGCAAGGAACCATGAGGCGAGGACAACCCCACCAGTGCACACCAGTGCACACCCCTTTACCATCTATGCTCCCCTGCTTGCAGCTTACCCGATGGCAAGGAACCATGAGGCGAGGACAACCCCACCAGTGCACACCAGTGCACACC